AATGCTCGGGTCTAAAGGTCACACCTCGGAGTGAAGTACGTACATAGTAGGAAGCAACCTACTCGTATCATGTTCTTCTCGCACGGGGAGGTTACTCCGTAGGAATGCGATCGGGGATGCCCGCGCTCTTGGCCTGGTGATCTTGGCCCAGGGCGGAACGGAGCGTGGCCAACGAGGATTTTTGGAGTTTCTCGTCGGTCTGTCTGTCTGTCTGTCGAACAGACAGTCAGGCGGAACGGGATTTGTTTATTCACGTCGCGTGGGCTACGTGCCGGATCTGAAGCTTAAGCTGCTCGTAACTATCGCAGAGGTTCCACGACCAGTTCTGAAGGCCCATCAATTTATGTCGGCTCGCGGCGATTTATTTATCTCCGCGTCTCCCACCCAAATCGGGAGCCCTACGACGCGTCAGCAGACAGAGAGACCCAGAACCCAGTTGGACTGCATAACGGAAGAAAGGACACCCACAGATTTGCGTGTACGACGATCACCGAAGTTCAGTCGGTCGCATCTTGACGCTTCAGAACTCTTTCATTGTGACCTTCCGTGAAGTCGGTCGGGGCATCGGCAATCTGACGATGAGTCGAGCCAGGGAAGGTGGCAAATGACACGGGAGGCTCCTATCTATAGCGCAGTCGGGATCGTGTCCATATCCGCGCCGGGCTTTTGTTTCTTCGGTCAGGCTCTCCGATCTTTTCGCTGCGTCGCTCAGCAGGCCGATCCCCTTCGATCCCCGTCTCGACTTCCATCGAGAAGCGACTTACTCGTGGTTTTGAGTGTCAGCACATGTTACAGTAGTTTATCACCTTGGCGACCAGTGGACATTCCACCTTGCTGATGGCGGGATTCCTGGAAATGTTCGCTACTCTCATGATATTGGGACCCCTGAGCGTGCGGATAACGTAAGAGGAGGGCTTGACGAACTCTTTCGATGATGAGCGGGAATCCCGGAGTGCATTCCGCAGAGTCCGAGCAGATTTATCTTCGTGGCTGTGACTGTATTAAGCTCCTCGCCGGAATTCCTCTTCGGCGACTGATCCCGGTGACGGCTGGACTGTCTCGATGTTGCTTCGTTCTTGGAGGGATTTTTGTTCTGATGACACGTCATCAATTAGTGGGTCTAAGAGCAAGACTCCGTCAGTTGTCTGGAGATCGTCTCTAAACTCGAAGCGAATCTGGCGTCGTGGAAGCTTCCAGGGATTGAGTAATTTGGGGTTCCGCATATCGACTGTTCATTCTCAAGCCGCGGCGAGTCTGGTTTCAACACAAGATTGCCATCTACCTTCGGAAGAGTTCGTTGGCTTTGACGCTGCTCGTCGCGCAGCGCCGTCGAACTCGATCCGCCGACGAAGCTCCGAGATTCCGAGTTAATTATAGAACCATTGTTTTCGCGAATCTCAAAGCTCGGTGCACCATGTTGAATCGATGCGACGCTCTCGAGCTCACACTCGGCTCGAACTTCAGGAATCCTGAATTTCTCCAAACTAGCTCCCGATTCATAAGGAGTTGCATGCGGTGAATGGAGGATACTACGGCACCCATGAATCGATAAAAACCTCAGAAGCCAGTGACGAAAGTAACGACCTGCCGTCGTGAAAATGGAGAAGGTCTGGGGCAGATGTGCTCAACACCAGGTGCGCTGTGTACCTCTCAGGGCGGAGAGAAGTTTCTCCTGTTTTTCGGTGTCTGCTCTGTACGCAGAATACTAGGCCACGAAGCGAAAAGTTTGCGAATGAGCTGCGCGGTGTTCTGAATCCGCCTGTGGAGTAGGATTGGAGAAGCACTCAGCTGGAAAAAAAGCGTCAGTTCGACGCCTACGGATCAATGATTCGTTTAAATGCGGGAGATCTCGACGTTGAGAGCATTTTTTCGGGATCGATTCGAACTCTTCCGTACACAATCCGTTTAGATACTATCAACTTTCGAGATAATTATTGATTCATCGCCATGCTTAGTTTTTACCTAAATACATTTAACTCTGCGGGCCGGAAGGGCTTCGACCCAATGCTCGGTCCGGCCTTCGGTCCGACGAGGATTCGGAGTGAGTTACGCGGTGAGTGAGAGAGTAATGTTAAGTCGAATCTTCGAAAGCTTCGCTCGACACAGTCAAACAGCTCTCTGTGTCTGACAAAGGGGCCCCGGTGACAGTTTAGACACAATTAAGGCAAAACACTGTCGCATATAACGTTCTTAGCCGCACGTCTCCCGGAGTCCGATGACGGTCGGCGCAGAGACAATGCCCCTCGGGAGACGAAAATGAGCTCGAAATGATGCGTCAGCTTCGCTTGCTGATAGCCCCCGATTCTGCTTCGAACCCGGAGTCACTGTGCGGCGTCGTAACCCTCTGATTTTGTTGATGTTCTCGCTCGTGGCACAAGGGAGGGAGGAAAATTCTGGACAAACCAAACAAACAGAGAGGAAGCGACCTCCGGCAAATATTTTACATCTCGGTATGTGTTCCCTCACTCGACATGCACCGGATGTCGTCAACTTGCGTTTCGTTTTAGATCGCTCCGCGGCGACGAAGTTTCGAGTAAGACGGAGGAGATTTGAGTCGGGCATGATAAAACTCCACCAAAACGATTTTGATGCGAAGCGTGAAACAAATCTTCCTCATGGTGTTGGCTTCGATCCCCGAACGGAACTACGGTTCCGCAAAAAGGAACTGTCATCTAGTAAATGGATTGGGATCGCTTCCGAAGCGGAGCGTCCGCGGCGGTCTCGATGAATAGTGGAACGTGCGAAAATAATCGAGATGGATGTTCTCGGATCTCCTGTCCCGGGACAAGCTATGACACCCTCAAAATTCCACGCGAGATCTTATGCGAAATAGCGCCGCGGGCGTGTCGGATCTCTGTTTGTCGTCGGCTCTATCCGTGCATTCAAAATCGCTAGCCGCGAGCCGGAAGCGATGCATGCGCTGATAAATCTACTCTTTAAGATGCGACGCTGCGATATCGTATAAGGGAGAAATGAGCATCGCGTGTTAAAATGTGCTGGTAGCTCGGAAGCGTTTCCGAAGAAACAGGTTTCCATTTCGTTCGATCGCTCGGTCGTGTTTGAAAGCGTGTAAACCATTCTAACGTCGAGTGTCTGCCGGAGTCCACCAACTCCACCAGCCTCTCCGCCGAAAGCTTCGGCCCGGAGGGTCAGGGCACCCTTAGTATGTGAGCAACAAAGATCGATGTGTGCGAGCCAGTTTCTAGGAGGGTTTTAAGATTTTTTTCTGTCTGATGGGTGCCCCATCGCACCGCGAGTAGCACTGGCAGGAGCAGCACATGCTACGCACATGTCACGTTGCGCACGCCCATGTTTGTTTAAACTCCCAGAGCGTCAGATGTCGGACCTGTACTCGAGTAGTAATAATGAATTCTGGCAGAGATCGACCGCGAGCGAACGGACCCAATGGAAACTACGCTAACTTGATTATCCCAGTTGTGCCTCCGAGTTATCTCGATGCTCGTGGCGCTCTCCGAATCTCCTATCGAAATGACTGCTTCCGCGCTCTCTTGAAATGAGGCTTCAAACCTAAGTGGGGCGTCATCGATACCCGAAATAGTTGTGTCTGGTCAATGTTGCTCTACATAGATCTTGATGAGAGAATAGAGTCGACCCTCTCGGCTCGGAACATTATCAGAAGCCCGACGAGATTCCGTCGGCTGCCGACTGCTCACGCTCTCGTCCTCACACGAGTGCGAATTTCCCCGTTCACACATGAGCATAGGCAGTCTGATCTCACATCATGGGGCGTCGAAGGGAGCGGAAAGAATAAATTTAATGAAGCCGACCAATAAAGTATGAAGATCAACTCAATGAAGGTGATCCTCTACTGAGGGCATGCCATCGGATGATCCGCTGGCTCCGAATTTCCTGAAGGTGGCAAACGAGTGGGCTCTCGTTGGAGCGTTAGGTCAAGAGAGTTTCCTTCCTCTGCCGATCAGCGATTAGTTTCCCTTCGATCGCCATTGATCGAATCAACGATCATTCCGTACGCGATCGGTTGCTCGTCGCCTCTAGCTACTCGGATGTGCGCAGCTCCGTTCGGCTTCCTCGGCGAAACATTGGGACGGAATCGACGACTGAAAAGCACCGTCTCTGAGCGGATCGATGTCCACCCTTCTATGGAAGAGCGGGACAACACGATAATGCCCGACCGGAACAATCAATCGCGCGCTCTTTCTGTCCCTTGCTGATTAAGGTTGGCGATTTCCCCCAGCCTCTTGATATTCGTTGACGGAAAGGAGTCGGGAACTGCCCCGAATCCCCGCGCGATTGTGCTTTGCGCCAATTCTGCTGTGGACGGGACGCTTGATCGAGGATACGACTATCCGTCTTTGTCCGTATACAGGTGCACCCGGTCTTCGCGAGGTTCGTGTGCTAAAACAGGCGACGTCAACAGTCGACAGCTATGAATTTCAAATAGAGGATTCGCTTGGTTTCTTCCGAATGACTTTGATATGTTTTCACGCAGCTAGGCAGAACTGTTTTTCGGAGCGCTGAATCGTAATGCGAATGGGTCCGCGACCGAGGGATTTCGCGACAAGATCGAGAATGGCCCAATTTCAGCACGATCAGAGTGGGCGAGCTGGAAACGCCGGGGAGCGCTGTGTATCTCCGCATTATGAGGGAGACCGCACTAGCTGTACAATCGGGACAAGACGAGCCAGTTCAGAATTCCTCCGGTTCTCTGTCTACGAGTCCTAATGTGAAGGATCTCACGCCATTCGAAGCTATTTGTATGCTGTGATCCGGATGGAAAAATTGAACTTAGCGCTCTCTCCAGAGTCCCCCCTCAATCAATAGGGGTAATATGCTCTCACAGCATAGGTAGTTTCGTTTCCGAATAGGTACTCGCAGAGCATCACCCGTCACGCCCGTGTCGAGACATTTCACTGGTGCAATGAATGGGTGTGCGAAGGCTCATATTGATATCAGAAAATATTAAATCCTTGGAGCAATTCAGTCAACTCTCTAACGTAATCTTTCTCTGATTTTCGCAGAAACTAAACGCAAGAAGTTCCATCCGTTTCGAGCGGTACGAAAAATATTCCGCTGGGGGTCCAAAGTGAAGAGGGTCAAATGCCCTGAAGGTGAGTTCGGGAACACCGTTTTTCCGCCTCGACGTCATCAGACCGTCTTCCTCGCTCATTTCCTGAAGGCAGGACCTCCCAATTTCCTATCGAGAGTTCCTATTCTGAAGTACGATGACGGAAGCTCCGAAAAGCGGGCTCTCCAGCGTGGATCCCTCCTCTGGGTCGTATGCACACATACAATCAGGCCACACAATTCGTCAGACGGCTGTGCCGTGCCGGCTCAATGGCGTTTGTGAGAAAAAGTCGTAGAGATTTGTACGTCAGACTCCCTGTAATTCTGTCGCCCCACCGCGACTTCTACGGCCGCACCTGCCTCTCAGACTGAGACCGATGGCTGGGACGATAGCAGACAGCGGCTGCGCGTCCGATAACAGTACTTCTGTTACGTGAGAACTTCATGATGACGATGACGGAATGCTGTATGGAGGCTACGATGTACACAGTTAAATCGGATGCGTTCCGTGACCGCTTCGGGTTCCCATCGACGTCGAGCAGGAACTTTTCGAAGAGGAGGATGGGTCCGAGTCCTTCTCGTAACTAGTTTCCCATCCCTCAGGAGCTACGAACGAAGGAGGAATAATTTCATCGAAAAAATCACTCAGTGTGGGTGAACTTCGGCAAGTGGCTCTGGACCCGATGGAAAGGAGCCTTGACACCGACTCGATGGACGTACACGATCCCAACGCTCTCGGTAGGTGACGTGCGCTCCCAAGCCCCTCCAATGCGGGTTGGCCAAGAAATTCTTCCCGATATGGCATAGATTTTTTGAGTGCCAGGAGCGTCTAACAAGAGTCGTTCGCAGCAGTCGGAGGCGGCGTAATGATGCAGCAAGGGGCCCTGTACTCGATGGGAGGACTTTCTCTATCACACGATTCCGTATTCAGCCCTGACACCTCCACACCCGCAGAAATGGGACAAATAATTCATCCAGTTCCTGTGATGACCGGCATTAGCATCACCAACAGCCTCTTCCAGGTTAGTGTACACGTGACAGAATCGTGAGGACAATTCAGTCGAGAGTTGAGGGAGACTGGGGGAGGGAGCATGTCAAGTATCACTGGCTCAAGATAGTCGGACACGTGTCCGATATGCCATGGCATGGGAATCTGGAAACTTCTTTCCTGGGAATTCGGAAAAACTCCTCTGGGTCTAACGTAGAATATTTTTCTCATTTTCAATTTCCTTCACATCACAGAACAAGTTGTTCAATCGCGTTAGAGCTAGACGAGCTGACGAGGGCGAAACCGATGATGAGGACGAGGATCACGGCCTACCGCGAAGTCCAGATCCCCACACACCGCCAAATCCCGAAAGCCACGCTAATGCAGCCCTTATAGGAAACATGTTGCAGAACTCCACATCGCCCGTAAGCCTCAGTCGATAAATTGCTTTCTCGTCCACCCGATGGGGGTAAAAACAGCTTCGCCGAGAGAGACCGATGTATTATGTTCCGCGATTCGGCCGATTCCCTTCCCGCGCAATATGTGAGCTCAACTCCGACCCAAAGGTCGCCGACCCCAGATATGTTGTTGAAGACGTTCCTACGCAGCTTTCAACGAGTCCCGTTAGCGGCGATGTCCTCTGGAACATCGGTACGAAGGCTTCTATCCGTTTACGTCCCGGACCTCGGGTCGTCAGAATATCTAGCATCATCGTTTTAAGCTATTCAAGAATTTAAGGGGGTCCGGGTGAATGTATGTATGTAGGTACCCTCTGCCACATGAGGGAAGGTTGCTCAGTCGGCCTTGAATGGGAAAGGGTTTGAGAGCGAGGACCTTGCTCTCCGTTACGTGGGATCCGCCCGCTTTGTTACGTATCCTAGCAAGCATACTCCATGCTGTGAAGCAATTTTCCGAAGTTTCCTGGCGAATCGCGGAACATTCTCGGAAGACTCTAGCCTCTCGTGTGATGTCTGACTGAGAGGTGCAACGATCGATCCTGCTAATCATTTCATGGCCGTCACGCAGGGAAATAAAGCGAAAGCGAGGAGTACATGCAGCGCGGGCAGCCTCTCCAGCATGCTTAGTTCCGAAACCGACGAGGTAAGTCCCGGAAACCGAATCATATATCTTAATGAGCTGAGCGAGTTAGAGAAGCCGAACTTCAGCGCATGTGGCTCCGTGTTTTTTCTAAATAGACACTTAAATAGAAACTTCGGGTCAGCAGTTCAGCTTGTTCACCGTTCGTTCCACATCACTGGAATCGGACTCCGTTCCCGAATGAAAAAACGAGAATCGGAAGCTCTGAACCCAGCTCGACGGTCCATTGACAGAGTTGTGGAGAGCGAAAATTCCTTGAGGTTGGGTGGACCGGAAAAATCCTCGTAATATGCGCAATATGAGCACTGACACTCCTCTCCGCTCCTCCTCTTGGCCTACGCTCTCAGCTCATTTGGGCGAACTCAGAGAATCCCGGAGCTAATTCTGTCCTCCGATCGAGACTCGAGAGCTCGCAAGACAGTGCGAGGGAGCTCTCATGCAGGCATACAGACCACGTACCCATGCGTTCATCTATTTAAGAATCACCTTCTCGAAGCGGGTCATGGCTGCTGCTGCCGCTGTTAGCTGACTTTTGCTCGGTCGTCGTTGTGCAACTAATGATGCGGCTCGGATCGATCGAGCCGTCAGCTAAATTTCGGAACCCGACGAGGCTGGACAATCGTCTCATAGAATTCTCTTTATCCCCATGCAGGATTCACTCAGCGCGGGCGCTTCAAACAGCCAGAACAGTTCCACTGGCGCAAGTGGGGTTGACAAAAGTGGCCAATTGAGCCATAATGCCGCCCTCCACAAGATCGCCATCAAACCGAAGAAAAATCATCAGCGAAGAAGGCCTCTGAGGGCAACGCCTACAGAACCTTCGCTCCCAGCGACTCCCGAAGAACGAACCACTCCGAATTCGGCTAACAATGAGGACGACTTCTCCAACTCCGCCGAGCTCCTCGAAATCGGTCGGTACCACAAGCTGCTAAATCGATTCAAGGCGGGCGCGGAGTTTGCCCTCCTTTCGCTATCTTCAGCTCCTCTGACGAAACACTCCCCGTGGATCCTGATCGTTGAATGAATTACTTAATCGAAATTTTCAAATTGTCTTTCCAGAAACGAGCGGTGGATCGGTGTCTGCGATGTCGAGTCGCCCTCTTTCAGTAGAGGACGACACGCCTCTAAGCCAAAAAGCGTCTCCTATTCCGGAGTCAATGTCGGGTGCCGACAGGAGGCGATCCGCTTTCCTCGACGAAACCCCGCCACCAGAGCCAGTAATCGTACCACCGATGGCTGTGGAGGTCGAGTTGATAGAGACACCGAAAAGGAAGGCGCCGCCGGGAGGAGTAGCGATGATCAGTGTTCAGGCTATTCAGGAAGCGCTCAGTGCGAGTAGATCTACCGGGAATCTCGTGCAGAGAAGCAAAAGCATGAAAACGGAGAGCGCCGACGTGTTCAGGACCGAGAACGTCCAGAACCGATTGAGAGTGTCTTCGACGACGGCGGGCGACGGCCACGTCGCCGATCCGGAGAAGACACCGTTATCGGCCCAGAACTCGCCGGTGAAGCGTGGGCTTAACGTCAGCTCGGATTTCTTCCAACGCTCAAGATCCTTCTCAGCCAAAGTTTCAGAAACACATCAGGCTTTAGGTGAGTTCATCTGGAAAACTCTATTCTGTGTGAAATACCCGTTGTCGCCCGATCCTCCTCTCTCCTCCACCCAGTCTTTCGTATCATTTTCTCTCGGATATTGGATGATGTCAATGTTCATGACCGACACCAGGGTCTCGAAAACCCACTTTCGCAAACGGTTCATACCTAGCGCAATAATATCCGCAAGGAGCCGCTATCTCATTCATGAACATCATCATCTGTCATATGTAACACTAACCGTGGTCTTCTGTGTGGTTATGACTCACTCTGTGTTGTATGCATTTTTCCTCCTTCACACGGTCAGCAGCAGAAGGGAATTCTAGTAAAGAGTTGAACAGCTCAGCAAAAGACGAAGTTGTCGTGGATGTGCGTGAGAGCATCAAAAGTCTCGAACGGAGGAAACCAACTCCGCACTGTGGTTCGGTTTCGGTGACGGGTGTCATTGACCCTGCAAAGGACGTTCAAGGTACCCCAAGGCTTCCTGTGTCTTCCTCTCCTAGCTCATCCTCTAGCTCCAACTCCTCCTCCCCCGTAAACCTCAATGCTCGCATATACAAAGGTAGTTAGGCTTGAGTTTCGGCGAGGCTCTGATTTGCATGACGCACGATACGCTTGCACGAACGTTTGCATGATCACCATTATTCGAGGATAGAGTCTCATTCGTGTTCATCTGTTTTTCATTCGTTTCTCGATTGGGGAACTCATTCTCTCGCTTTGCCATTCAAGACTCCCCGTCGAGGTCGCGAATTTTTCTTTCTTCAGCTCGTGATCGTATCTCGGTCTCGAGTCTCTCTCGTATCTCCCGCGCTCACATCCTCGTGATGGAACGCAAATAAATTATTCATCCCGTCATGTCGATCACCTTCCGGTGAACTAAGTTGTCATTGCAACAGCAGGAATCAGAAGACGCGACGCCGAGGACGACAAGTCCACGACTAGTGCCAAAGGATCTCTGAGTGGTTTCTCCGGCCAGGTCTTCGAGAGACCTCGATCCGAATTAATCGAGGGAGTAGAGCTTCGAAGGAAGCCGAAAGAGGCCGACACGGCTGCTCCTCAACAGACGATTGCCGGAGAACCCGAGCTTTTTAAGGTACGTTGGATGCCAAGGTAGAACGCTGGGGACACTTGGCACGATTAGCGCTCCCGATGTAGGTAATACTGATTCAGCGCTCATCAAGCATCGATCCGCTGAAGTCAAAACGCGGTTCCCCCACCCCGACAGGTCTTTGCAAGACGTTCACTCAAGCAGAAACCGGGTTCGCAAGACGAGAAACAGGACACGGAAACAGAAAAGGAGCTGGTGTTGACGAAAGAGGCGCCGAAGAGCGCCAAAGTTGGTGATGCCAAACGTCTCGAGTCTCCAGCAGCGTTAACTGCCGGCGGACCTCTCCCACAAATCCTAAACTCCGGCCAAATACAGATAGCCGCCCCCAAATCTCCTGGCAACAAAAGTCCTGCCGAGATCGGAAAAGTCAAGGTAAGCGAATCGGGCATCCAACTAGGTCTCCAATTTTCGGGTACGTAGAAAACCAGTTTCTGCTCATCAGAGGCGGAGCGGCATCGACCGCTCAGCTACGAGGGAGGGTTCCTGGATTTAACCCGTCCTCAGGCTTAGCCAAGGAAGCCCCACTACAGCGCCCGCGCCACGGAGCTGTCAGGCGGCATTCGCCCGGGTAGTAAAGGGAAAAACTCGATTATTCGACGTTTCCTCTCGATCTCGATTCCACCGATCCTAACGGATGCACTTTAATCTTGCAGGCCGCCATGAGTGCGAAGGTTTCGCTTCAAGAAAGTCCGGATTCAGGACCAACTTCTCTACCGGCTTTCCGCCGCGATGCTGAACTGCGCAAACAGCACTCGTTGGCTCAAGAGCCGCAGAGCCGCAAAAGTCTCCATTCGAGTCAACAGCAGGACAAACTCTCGGAAAGAATCCCGCCCCTGCAGAGAGCAACTTCTGTCGGTACCAAAGCCGACGAGCCCACGCTGCAGGAAGATTGCGACCAACAAAACGCGGGCGGTCAGCCCGAATGGTTGAAACTGGCTCAGAAGAAGCGAGAAAAACGCGAACTGAAAGAGAAAAGTGACAATGTCACTTCGAACAATCAGACCAATGTCCATGAGACGAATAACAAAAATCAGGAGGTAAGAGTTTGATGAGGGTCCACCATGAGGGTTACGCTCCCGGGCAGAACCTCCTCGACTCCGCGCCGGTTTCTAGTGGTGGAATTGAGTTTTGGCTGTCCTGTGAAGGAAATAATAATTCGTGTGAAAGGGCAATTTGTGTGCGATATACATATATGACGGGTATTACCACTCATGGTGGAGTTTTAACCAGACAATAATCTCATCCCGAGCAGCGGCCCCTGAAGAAGCTAATATCTCACTTCAACAAGTAGAAACAGACAGACAGAAAGCAGAACAAAACTCTAGAGACAGAAACAACCCAAGCAAAACGCATCGCACCTGTGTAGGTTTACGACTTCGGATTTTAAGCAGCTCTGCCAGCTGCCTGAGCAAGCGAGCACAAAAACGCCACTGCATGTCAAAGGTTTTTTTCGGAATTCCTCCATCTTTCATCTTTTCCTCCTCACCAGCGGATGTTGAAGCCTCTCGCTTCATCTTCCGACTGCGACCGAGCTCTTGTCGGCGACGTCATTCGGCTCGCACCGTTTCTCGTTCCATGCATTCAGTTTGGTTCCTAATGCTAGTTCACTCGCTTATTTACTGATGCATCTCTACTAAAAATCCTTCTTCAAAAACACTCAGAAGCTCCTCTCCAGTATTACCGGAGATCCACACTCACTTCGCAAATCCAGTCTATAATTTATTTTCGAAATTTTTCGCTCTCCTCGAGGAGCGTGCCATGCATAGGATTAGCGTGACATTCTTGTTGAGCATGTGTGAAAGAGCGAGAAAGTGTGCGGCGGGAATGTTCGAGTGCAATTTCTCCTTATAAATGCTTGCTAACGCTTCGGATGAATAACACGTAAACAACTTACAGGCCTCTGCGGCGAAGTCGACGGGCGGACTTCGTTCGTCGAAGGTTCTCGACCTGGTCTCCAACTTCCAGAAAATGCAAATGGCCTGAATTACGAATCGAATAGGACAATTGATGGGCCGGCCGAAATAGGAGAGAGCAGAGCTAGAGGAATGACGGAGACCGTAGACGCATCTCTAGGAGGACCCTTGTCGGTGGATGAACCTGCGAAAGAGCTATTATATACATATGTAAATACGAGAGAAAGTCGGCGACAAAGGATTAAACTATGATTTGATGAATGAGGAAGTAGATCGAGAAATGACATCTCGACCGCTTGAGCGTCGCGTTCTTAGAATGTAAATAAGCAAACGATCGGCGAATCGACGCAGGCGAGTTTTACTCTCTGCTTTTCTCCGCGGCTGAAATTCGATGGTCGAGACGATCATTTCTGGGGAACGACTTCTGCCCCCTAAGCCTCCCTCTATGCCAACTTCCATCATCAATTTTCGTTCTGTATGGATCTCTTTGACTGACAATGAGTGTTATTTGAGTCTCTGTAGCGTTCAGATATCATTATCGAACGTATGATTGGGCGGAGGAAACAAAACGCTGAATTCTATTTTAAGCATCCTCGGTGCAGACTGATCGATTGAGAGTTTTATCTGAAGACTTCGTATTAAAATCAAATGCCCTATTCGCATTGAATGGGCTCAGTATCGGAACGAGTCGCGTATGATGTTATACTTTTAGCTTTGATTTCTCAGTCAATAAAGCTTACCTGTTTAAACCTTAATCTGGAGAATACTCAATCATGCATGTGACAAGTGAATTCTGAATGGACGTATTTTCGATAAACACTCTTCCCCAGCTTCGATTGGAGGCTTTCGATAAAACGACCGCCATTCATTTCCGAGTTTCAGCGAGAAAAGTCTCAGCTTTATTCTCCCACACATCATCGTTCTCCATTACACAGTTCGCGCTTCGGACGTTCGAAATTCGTTAGCGCTACTCTCTGGAAACCATTTCTTCCGCACAGTATCTACACGGGTTTGACGCCACAAAGGCTTTCGTCCATTAAATCATCCTCGAGTACCAAGGGTGTAAGTCTGTTGCCGACACTCGAACTGCCCATAGGGCTTTTGCTGCTATCAAAAGGAGACATCGAAGCATCATCGCCGTGAAGGGCTCGCAATCTCTGCTCCACCAAATCCATTGCTGGATTGTCACTCCCTACGGGTGGGGGCATTGCGGACGAAACTGAATGTTTGGGCGACGCTTTCCACGATGGGGAATATCGTTTCTGCGACGGTGATGAGCTCAAACTTCGCGGCTTCGGAGATTCTCGATCGTGCTTCGAAGATGACGAAGAACTTTTCGATTTACTTTCCGACGTTCGCGCTTTATTAATGGTCAGTTTTATCCCTGGAAGTGAATCGTATGTCAAGACTCTCGGTTCCAGCGAGGGCAGCTCGACCTGAATCCCGCCAGCGGCGTTCGCCGGCCGCGAGCGCATGTATGAAACAGATATTCTCGAAATACCTTGGGCCGATGAGCTTGATTTGATTGTGAACTGTCCTTCTGACGCCGAGTATTTGCTGGGACTAGCGAGATCTTTCTTAACGTTCTGATGTAGTTTATCAACAATCGCGCTAAGACCGGAAGATGAGCTTCCTGGAAAAAGAAGAGCCGAACCATGAAAACTTCGCACGCTACGCGGTTCGGATCCGAGTCTCCAAGGGAAACCTCTCCGAAGCAGGAAAAAAATTCCAGTCATACTTCTCATCCGATCTGCTTCTTACGCACCTTTCCCGCTCGATTTCTCTCTCTCTTTGTTCGACGAAGATTTTGATGAACTTCTAGAATCCTTCTCCTTCGAAGATGATCTGGACGACGATCCTGACGGCTTATTCGAGGAACCTTCCTTAGATGAACTCCTCTCCTTGCGTTTCTCCTTGTCGCGACTGCTCACGGAATTTCATGAAAGGGATCGAAAAACCATCTGAGAACCTCGGGAACTCTCTCGAAGGGGGAGGGGGAATTTTAGTCGACAGCGAACAGAGCACCAGGTTATTCCTCCAATTCGGAGAACCTCTTCTAGGATAAGGGACATGAATCAAGATATCTCGAATCAAACGGCTTCAATTCGGCTCACCTCGATGAATTCTTCTCACTTTTCGAGTGAGCTTTGGACTCTTTCTTCAAGTCGCCCGTGCTGCCCATCGGAACTACTATCGGTGGAGACTCACCCGAGTCCCCACCAGCCAGCACGTTTTTTGGATTGCGTTGAGAGTTTTGAATTCCTGCTAGAACATTGTCCACCACGTTGTCTATTCGCTGCCGTTTAAAAAGTAACGGGTCCACCGGTGCCGTATTCACGGCAGGAGACAACGCTTTATTGGCGATGTTCAGCTGGCCAGAATCTGGATTGGGGCCCCCTACTGCCTTCTGGACCGGGTAGATGGGGGCCCGCTCTAAAAAATCCCCATCATCAGCGCGCGCACGTTTTCTTTGCTGAGCCGACGCGAGCGCGGCTTGCGCTTGCGCAGATGAGCTCATAGGTGTCATGAGTTGTTGATGATGTTGGAGTTGCGCTTGCATCTGCAGAGGCGTCTGTTGGTGCTGGGTTGGATGATGTTGTTGCTGCTGCTGCTGTTGTTGTTGAGATGGTGGCGGTGGTGGTTGCGGCGGTGGTTGCTGAGCTTGTTGTGCTTGCTGCTGGTAGAAATTGCTGCCGAAATCAGGCCCGCAATCATCTGCCAGCATGTTCAGACTCAGTCCACCCGATGGTCCTAGACTTTCGAGATCGAACATATCCTGGAAGGGGAGAACTTCATTAGTCACTCATCAGCCGCAATCAGCGCTCTTTCGACAAGACTTTCCGTGTCCCCTTCAATTCGCTCGATATAATTTTCGAAATGCATAATCCGCAGACAATCTCCTCCTTGCCTGTTGCATAGGGTTGGGACCGTTGTCGAATGAGTTCTTCTCGGTATCGAAAGGTTCCCGTGTTGTTTCCAGGACGGCGTCGCTCGATAGGATCGAGGAGCCGTTGGATGACTTGCCTTGCACTTCACCTAGAGACTTCTTAACATCTTTCGCCTTATTGATGATACTTCTCATCACGACTGGTATTGAGAACGACATCTGAAGAACTTTGGCTACGTTCGAGTCGCTGATGAATGCTTTCTTCTCGCTTCGAGTACTGAAGAATGATTGACATTTTGGGATAAGGATATCGTCGAAACAGAGTTCGAGGGTGATGAGACTCTCACAGTCAAGTGGGTGTTCATAGGAAATGCACAATGAGTTCAGGCCGTTTGGATGAACTTCGAACACGTGAATCTCTTCATCGGGGCTTGGTGTATAATCACGAACGCACGAAGAGATCAGATGATTGAAGAAGCACTGTTGCCGGAGATATACAAGCACTTGTGGTACGTGGGTCGGATGGGTGAACGGGATCGACGAGACCATGACTCCCATCCGAGAACCGCTCTCTATGTGGAACGTGTGGGTTTGGTCGGGCAGCTTCACATGGGATGGGCCGGCCCGTTTCGTGATAAGTTGAATCAGAGGTTCACTCTGCTGAACGGGAATTTCGATATTCGTCACAGCTTGCAGTTTCTTAAGACATTCGATGTCGACCGCGAGCGGTTTCGACAACTTCATCGCGTAGCATGCTTGAAGGGTGACCGAGTTGAGCTGCGTCAAAGCCGAGAACGACGGCATGCTCTTGCCGTCGATGTTCGTGATCAAACTCCCGGTTTGCAACTTGTGCTGGCCAGAGTTCTCGATTGAGATCGAGACACTCTCCCCGAGTTTACGTGTGACTATGTTCTCGACTGTAACCGGGAGTAGTGCTCCGTTTTCGTCCACAAAATCATAGGGGGACGCGAAGAACGTCAGCTGCATTGGAAAGCCGCCTCGTCGAGGCACGAGAACACCGACAGGCGACTTGAGGATGAGCTGTCTCGTGTCGCTGATGAAGTTCTGAAGACCGGATACGGTGAACAAATCGTTTTCTAAGGCTTGCAAGGCCACGTAAGCTTTTTGCTTTTTCGTTTTCTCACAACTCAATTGGTAAATTGAAATTAAGCCCTCTAGATGAGCGGAAAACGCGATGAAGTCGTTCTTCTGGAGAACATCGCACAGCTCTCGACAGCTCACTGGATCGCCATGATGAGCAACCTGTAACCCAGTCGATAGGTGAGTGAGCTACTTACGTCCCCTGCTCAAGGAGAAAGCTCATCGGATCATCAAATACTGACAGTGTAATGACCACATGAATCTTACCTTCACATCGCAGACATGACCGTTGGCTTCGACAATAACTTCAACATAAAACATGTCGGAACTGATGAACACTTCGAATTCGACAGCTTTTCTGTCCGATCCTCTTTTTGATCTTTCGTCAATTTCAAACCGAGTTGCCGGGTTATGGTATCCAGCCGCTCTATCATACCCTGGTGGGAAAAGAGGCTCCTTTGAGCTCGAGGACGGATAAGTGCCGATGGAACAGATGTTTAACAGGTTGGGCAACATCTACACTCGATGTCATATGAGCAGAACATTCTCTCGACCTATTCGTCTTGCAATGATTCCCGAGTCTTTGGAGGTCTTCCTCCCGAAAAGTCACGACGATGACCAGGAAACTATTTTCGAGAGGACATTCTCGAAAGAAACATGTTTTCTCGATGGAATTCGACATGGAGAAGGAAATCCATGAATGAAGGAAACCGCTGCTGCTTCGACTAAATACCTGAGCAGAGTTGACTTTGATGCTCTTCTGAAGTAAGTCGAGGCATCGCTGCAACTGGGTGCGTTCTTCGTTGTCGATGAAGTGGTGTTTGTCTCCGGTCAATTGACGAAGCTGTTTGCCAGTTTCATTCCATGACCGGTATTGTTTTACGCGGTATTTGTCCATCGTGATGGACTGAGATCGCCGGTTCTCACTATTGAACTACATCCGGCTGTGGAATTCTCACATCTTCTTCACCGAGGAGAACATCCGCTCAGATCATACTTGATTTATTCAATTTAGTATCCCCGCAGAAAAGCTTATTTGCTTATTTTGGATACACAATCGAGGAGCGGAATCTATGCTGAGTGTTGGCTGGCAAGCGTCTCAGAAAATCCTAAACACAGTCAACTTAGCTGAGCAACTCTATCCGATAGTCTATGGGGAGTTCTCTTCGAAACGACCCCTCAACACTCCTGATACTCCGCTAAACTGGCGGGCGCCAAGAACACTTGCGGTTCGGCTCGTTCTTTTTTACGATCGCACTGAATCTTCCCTAAGCCTACACGACTTTTGAGTTCAGTTTTGTATCACATCTCAATCCAGTCTATGGGAGAGGCGCACGAGGGAAACGCGGTATGTATATGTTCCTGCCACGGAAATGGAACCTGTCGACAAAAACAGTGGAAGGAATCATGACGCTGATCTTTGCTCAGAGTTTCAAGGGAATGGAGCGGTCCCTTCCACTGCTTGGTCGATCCTTTTCCTGATCGATCATGAGGGAACTGATCGGGAGAGATTGTTCACGGCGCTGGCGGCGGATTTTCATCGCTCGAATATTGCGTCGACAAACGGAATCGTTGGCATGGTCGCATGATATGTCTGCAACCTCGACGACAGCGGGGAAGGCGACCGGCATTCGCTATTGCATCCCCAGAATCCTTCCTTCCGACTGAGCAGGGTTCACGAAGCGCTCCCTTCGTTACCTTTCTTGAAGGCCGTAATTCGCACCCTAGTATCCGCAAGCGGGGGAAAATGCCGATCACCGCACATTTCACAGACATTGGCATGGAGAGCAGGCAAACGAAGGAAATCTCAGCGAGCCCGACCGACTGACGATGGGAGCTCAAACTCCGACACCGATTCAAGGTCTATTGTGGGGAGCCATTCATCTCTGAACCCGATTGTCAATGAGGTTTGCGGCTCGCCGTGTGTTTCCGAAATCACAGAGGGGCCTCCGAGCCCCTTGAAGCTCTGCGCCCCTAGCGCAAACCTCTCTTTGAGGATCCTAGATCTACAGCGAGGCATACCGGCTTGCCTCTTCGCTGACTTTTCGGTCCTTCTCTCACAACACAACCCCTTCCTGATGTCTTCAATTCCTCAATCGACACAAAGAACTTCCCAGATTAGCTCAAGAGGGTCTGTGTGGTGCCGTTTGGCCCGAAAGAAAGGAGACGGGCTGAGTCTGACTCGTACAATGATTGGCTGATTCCAGTCTTATTCCTGTCTGCGTACATACAATATCCGTAGGTTCGCTAGTTTCCCGAATATTATGCGTTTCATCAAACATGTTAGTTCGAGCTCGATATGCTCACAGTGTGGTACGAACATCGAGAAGTACCGAAGAGCTCTGACAGGCACTCCGATTGGAGCCGCGCTCTTGTGCGCCTCTGCATTCGGACGACAGCCGCGCCCAGGAGAAGGTATCGCTCCTCTTTGTACCCACGCTCCAAGTCGCTCGCGAACTCGAATTAGTCAAGCGCTCTCTAACGACCATCTCGAGCAGTGCATCAATACTCTCCTGAGACAGCCGAGCATTGAAAAGAATTCGTCGTTGGGGTATAAAGAAAACGTATCACCTATGCGCTCTTATGTATCCTCATCGATTCGGCGCAGACTTCAGCTATGACTGGATAGCCGACTGGAGATAGATTCAACCGACAGTTTTGGATTGCACGAAGAAACTGTTCATATCTTGACTATGCATATCTCGGGCATCGATGAGTATCTGTACAATATAGTTCCTATAAAATATTCTCATCGGAACTGTGGCGCCCGACGCAAGAACTCGTCCACCTCTTGTTTGAATAACGCACTCTCGACAGGCTTGCCCCGTTCACACTCGGGATTCTTCACGACGTATTCGACGTATACCTGCGGGAAGGAGCAGCTTTTAGATCGATCTATGACGGGAATCATCCTACAGAGAGCTGGTATGGGTTCGAGTTCGCTCTATCAAAGATCCACCCCTCTCAGAGCACTCAGTCGGACATGGAGTGTCCCCACCATACCAGAAGCGGGAGACATAGCTGCGATCCTCACCTGCTGATACAACTGTTGGATGAGTTCTCTCATTCCTATCGCATTGACATCTGTGTTGATCACGAACCAAAGACCGGAGGGCGTTTCGAAATAGTTCAATTTGTATTTGTTCGTCCTATAGCAATTGAAGGTCCCGGAAGAGTCTGTCAGTGACAACTTCTGGCACATAGATTTCAGCGAGTACAGTAAGCCGTACATGAGCTTTCCTTCCTGCAATTCGTTCAACAAGACCATCACCGATTAGTCCGGATAATTCCTGTCCTGCTCGAAACGCCGAATCTCCGATGGATGACCATGGACACTGAGCGAAACGAACAAGCGATGCGGAAGTCTGTGGAGACTCCCATGACGCAATTGATTTCTCATGAAATGCGCTCTTCTCGTGCATTACTTCTTCTAACCTCGGAATAGGACATGTCCGCTTTCTTTAGTCGTTTGTACTCTGAATAGAAGAGGAACGTTCCATGGTTGTCGAAGATGTAGATATTGAATATCATTGCGTCTTCTCAACTGAGCCCGGAACAGAACAAGTTTTGATTCCAACTTCAGCTGTCAGTTCCTCGTTCGTTCGATCGTGTATCCGAGGGACAAGTGTTTAGATCTAGAGAAGAGAGAGGGGTGCTGTTTTCTGCTATGGGCCGCTAGCGGCAGCCCTCAATCACTCGAATGTCGAATCTCCGACACCGGAAAATCGGAAGGAACTTTCGGTCTGAGAATGAAATGAAGATTGACCGGCCGGCGCGAGTATCTCCATTCGAATTCTAGGGTCAATTCAATCGCCAGCGCGTGTGATTCCACGTACCTTCTTACAGAAACGGAGTACTTTTGAAGCTGGCGCTGCGACAACGAAACCTGTGACGATAGTGGTTTCGGTTTCGAACTTCCCGTGCAGCTTCCTTTTTCGACGTTCTTTTGTTGCGGAGACCAGCAAAATACACAGTACGTGAAAAATCCTCATAAATCTTGTGGTTTGACCAGGATTTCTGCTTCGAAACGCATGTCGAAGGAAGCCCGGTGCCCCGAGCTTGCTTCTTGCGCAGATTAAGGTGTAGATAGGCGTTTCGTGTCGACCGATTCCTCGATCGGCCCGACCTCGAGCAGACGTGTGCGTGCTTACATCGCTCTATTTTCGCTGGAATTCCTTCGCGTCGCGAGTTCCTGAGTTTGAACCAGCTCCGAGCAGTTCCGGAAGTTGAAAGGAGTGGCTTTCCCTTGGTGTCAGTGAAATCGCTATGAAAGATGTTGGATGTTGTTGTCGGTGTTTCGTTTATGCTCAACCACGCTTTTCTGGAGAACTCTCCGGCACTCCGATCTTAGCGCGTGTTCTCGATGACCACAATCATGTCCAGAGCTCCATGCGGCCCTCGCTGCATGCCAAGCCCGTAATTTAGGTTGTTTGGCTCTCGCTGAGATCCGTTTCATTGTTTGCAGCGTCACCATGGGCAAAATAATGAAACCCGGCAAGATCGTGCTGGTCCTAAATGGCCGGTACGCTGGCAAGAAAGCCCTCATTGTGAAGCCCGCAGATGAAGGCAAACCTTTCTCCCATGCCATCGTCGCTGGCATCGCTCGTTACCCTCGCAAGGTGAGATCACGAGTGTGAATTGGAGCGAGCTCATCGTTTCATCATCTGCATAGCTTCTCGTTCGAATTCATCCACATTCAGCGACGGATTCTCACTCGTGGTCTACATGATTGTTGCAGATCGTCCGCCGTCTATCCAAGAAGAAGCTGGAACGCAGATGTAGGATCAAGACGTTCGTCAAAATGATCAACTACAACCACTTGATGCCAACCAGATACACCGTTGACATCGATATCGACAACAAAAAAGTGAACCGCGATGCCCTCAGTGATCCCGGCAAGAAGAGGAAGGCTCGGCTCGAGGTGAAGCAGAAGCTCGAAGCTCGTTTCAAGCAAGGACAGAACAAGTGGTTCTTCCAGAAGCTAAGATTCTAAATAAATAATGGATCTTAAGCTATGCCAACTCGTTTTCTGCTTCCATGCTCCGACCGGCGCTTGCGAGCTGAATACGAGCAAGGAATTTCTCGAAGCGTCCTTCTCCCCATCACCTGGGAATCCCGGATATAGGAGCTACGTCCTGAACTCCGTGTCATCGCTCTCCGATGAGTAGACATTTGGTTTTCTCGAAGGACAGCTTTTATTCCGATAGAGCCTCGATGAATCTCTTTTGATAGGGTGACTCCATTCCGACGTGGGAATAGCGGAAAATTCGTTCCGAAGTCGTTCTCTCTTTTCTTTAAAACGATCGACATCTTTTGGTATTACTATCAGTTCACAGAACGGTTCTCATAGCTCAAGGTGTTCGATGCAGCTGGGGTAAAGTGACACTCGGTGTGAAAATCGGCAGGAACAATATTCGCTACGACGATTCCTCGGTGAATTCTCCGGAATCCGGGAGTTCGATGTCTTTGACGATTTCACGCGCTTCGTATATGGAAGTCACGTTCTCGAGGAGTGTATCCCAGGCAGCGCTCCCGAGAAGGAACCTGGAACCGGTGGGAAGAAGAAGGCTGTTTTCTCCTTCATCATCGTTCCTTGTACATCGGGAGAGTGGCATACGCCTTCAGAAGTGATACTTACCGATGAGCGCCCCCACAGTCGATACTCCGGTATTTCTTATTGCTCGAGCAAAATGGCATATTGAACACGTCCGACAAATGCTGGTCGATGAGACTGAGACTCTGATCTCTGGAAACACCAAGATGTTTCGATAATAAACTGTACCCCGGTCCCGAAGCACCCGGAGAGGAATTTCAGATGGACTCCACACTCGATCCGAGGATCGAGATTCGGAATGCACTGGAAGCAAAAATCTCACCGATAAACTTGACTGAATTGGGCGCGGAGAACTCTTCGTCTGAGGGACTTGCACATGAACATGAACTCGTGGAGCCCGGGACAATCGTTATGCGGACCCCACGAAAAATGTCTTTGGAAGGTGCTTCGGATGAGGTCGAGGAAGGCGACCATTGTTCTGTCGCGATTAGGTGGAATCTCCGGAAAGCTAAGCTTCAGGGTCCTGCAAGGAAATCCCGCCTTCAGCCTACCGCAGCGGCAGAGCGTGCTGCTATAGAGGGTAATGTGGAGCGGAACTCACTAACATGTGAAAAACAAGACCCGAAGTCGTTTCTGAAGTCGTCACAGCGCTCTGTACTGCCGATGTTTCTTGACGTCGTCTCTTCCTGACGGGACTCTGAGGCGCACTGTGGTAGCTATCATCGCTGTCTCTCTGCGTGTCGGAGACTGCGCTACGGAGCAGATCTTGCGACGAGATCCTGATGGGAGTATTGATCGACGATGAGGAGGATGGTAGCTCTTGGTTCCCATCGTCGACTTCTTGTTTGATCTCGGGCATCAAAGCCGTTTGCGTGAGTTTCCTCTTGTGGAGCCTTATATTTTGCGCTAGCAAAAAGAAGTTCAGCTTGGAAACCGGTCTGAAATAGCTTTCGTGTGGAATTCCTGTACACATCCCGAATTTATGCCGCATTGCGGAGCGCTTACCATCGACGGCAGGTAGAGAGCTCGATGTCGTCGGGGGAGTAGAAGCGCCACCATGATCGTTGTCCTACGAATATTTTTTGGGTATTCGTGAGAAGAGATGGAAAAAGCAGGGGCGGTCGAAAATCAAAGTGAAGCAGGGTGAGGGGGCAGAGGGAGGTCATGTGTTCAATGAGTTGCTCAGAACGGGGGAACCGACATACCTTTGACGAGGATCGCGTACGCGTAGATACACAGGGCTCACTTTGAGAAGGCAACATGGCTCCAAGCATGATTCCTTCCAGATCCTCGGGCGACTCGTCATCGTCTGGCCGCTTCTCTCTATATCCTGTGGGGGAGGTCTCGATGATCGGGGAAATCGTTGCTTCGATGGAGTTCTGTTCTTCGAAGCGCACTTGACGAGTTTCCCTCTGTCCAAGTACTCCGGAGTCCGCCTCGACTTCAACAGGCGGTGTCTCTTCTTCGGAAAGCAGACGTGTCGCTCGGGCACGTATGCCTTTGCGGCTGTTCCGCGTGTTCGCGGGAGATTCTGCACTGTCTGTGCTAGGTTTGCTCGTGGTGCTTTTTCGCGCCGAATGAGTCGCTCTCAGAGACACTCCTGGAAGAGCACACCTTGAGTTCCCAAGCTACATGTGCGCGGATTTCTCCCGATTCTCAATCAGAATGATGTAATCTGTCCCGAGGTATCCCACTCCAGGTATTCATGGGGTGAACGAGATTCTCGTCCGATACACAGCATATCAATGGGGGAACTTACGATTTCTCGCGATAGTTCCCGAGTTTATTCGAAGGAGGCGATCTGGCGAATGTTCCTCCATGAAGAGCGATTCTCCGTCTGTCAGTTGGGGAGTTCCGCCGTCGTCATGGTACAGAGAGCGCTTCTGCAAAGAGAAGGAAGTGTCACAATCTGTCGATTCTGCTCCAGGCTATCGACGCGAGAAAACTCGAATATAAGGAGATCTTCCGGAGCCATACCTTGGAACGTCTCTCAGATTTCTCAAGTTTAAGGGTATCTTCAACTTCCTCGTCTTCTTCTTCGTCCCCTATTTCTTCGATATCACCTTCGCCAGGGTTGATCTTGTTCGAGTTAGATTCCATCTGTGGGGAAATCGTGAAAAAATTGTGCGTGAGTCACAGATGCTCTCCGAGGTTGGAGCCTCAATCGTTCCGGCTGCTCTGAAACCTCCGTCCGCGCCAGATCATTGCCGTTATCTCTCGCGAATGCGCGTACCGCGGATCCCGGACAAGTTCTGAGCGAGGAGTTCACAATTCCACCGGGGCGCCTCTTCGCTCGAATCGGTTCCCCTGAGTCTGGATGGTGATAGTCGTCCTCATCCGAGGACACGTCGAGACAACTCCTCTTCATCGACTCCCTGAAATGTCTCATCTCTTCGTAGAATTCCTCAAAATAAATCCTACCTGATAGGAGGTTCGCCGGCGGAAGTTTTCGTACTAATTATCTTGTTACGGAGCCTTGATATTCAGAATGGATCTCGGAACTTACCTCAAGCCAGGCGTTTTCGCCGTCAATAGTTTGATTTGGGCGGCAGTAATTTTATACATCGGCAGCTGCTTCACGATAATCTTCCGCCACCTTTCTTTCAGAGAGTGGTAGGAGAGCCTATTCGGGTTATACTGCAAAGACATCGGACGGAACAGCTGTATTCGAATCGGACTCAAATGAGTGACAAATGCGTGCATCTAATTCAGCAGAATCCGTTTCTCAGAGAGCAGAATCGTATCGCCCTACGTCATGAGCGCACCGCAGAATCGATGGATTGGCATCTGTGGCGCTGCCTCAAAAATTTGATGGCGATGTCAGGGAGCGATCGGAACGAGTTCGAAACTTGGGCGGGTATAGAGGATGACCAACGGACGAGCACTGGTATTTGAAAAATCAAAACAGAAAGTGGCCACAGAGCTTCGCTCTATCAGACAACAGGGAGCCGCGATAGATTCGAAAGCTCGGAGCCGATATGTTTCCAGGAGTCATGCCAATTGAGGAAGGTCAAGAAAAAGGCGAAGATCATCCGAGATAAATTTCTCAAGGGAAACTGAATGTCTGGATTCGAAGAGCTTGCTGTAATCCCATGATGGGGTAGACTTCGCCGTGGGAGTGCACTTCCTCGACGGACACATCGAGAGATCCCTATCATCAGTGATATTCACATCCACGGAGCCCATCGTCGAGGGGTACCAAAATGTTCGCGAGAGAAGAGTAACGCTGATGAAACCCTAGATAGCAGCGTTCTGTGGATCGACGTCGAATCGGACAAAGCGAGGGCTGGATCCACGATATCCTATTCCAGCGACACACAATCCTTCTACGGATACACGAGAGCTCTACGATACCCTCTTGAATTGATTCTACGATTCACCGAGCTTCCGGGGGAGGGGGGCAAAGAAGCGGTCCATCACCTACCTTCTTACATATCTCGAGGCGTTTCCAGACCTCGTTACCTCCTAATTTCGAGACGTCTTTGGTATCCAGAAGGTACTGGATGATTAGCTTATCGTCCCTCCTTGTATACTGGTGACGGGTCTTCCCGCTCGAACTGGTTTCCATGGCCTGGGAGAATCGAATGAGATTGTTGGCATGATATCGTACCCGGGGGAGACCTGTAGACTTTCGATCCATCAGGCCAGTACCGGTGTCGGGACTTGTTAAGTAGCGGATTTCTCATCGGCTCCGCCTTCTATGATGACTACACGGGCATTGGCCGTTTGAAATCGTTCCTTTACCGATGAGAATCATCGGAGATGCTTCATAGAGCTTCAAATCGAACAGAGAGTGCTCACTGGATTTCATGTGTGGTCGGCGATACTCTCGAAGGATCGGCTGACTGGGTAAAACGTCACACTTCCACGAGTCAAGCGCTCGGATCAAGTCTCGATGAAGGGAACCACATCTCCGACACTTCAGGACCGACTTCACAAGTATCCTCACTTAAACGAAGCACTGATTTTCAAATTTCTGACCACTGTCTGCGAAAAACTTGCCGCGGCTGTCCGCTGGCCAAGAGAGACGGAACGAAAACAAGACTTTTCGAAAACGGCGCCCTTCTCAGAGCCAATCATCGAGAGTCGTCGTCGTGCGTTGTTGATACTAGCTCAGTTGGTAATGAAAGCTTGCGTATGGGACCCAGTCGTGAAAAGAAACTTGCCTTCTCAACGGCACGTTCGTGGGAGCGATAATTCGAGAAACTCCATTTCGATTCCCTCATGAGACCTGAATGCCACCGGAGTCCAAATTTACAACAGCGGCTTCGCTCAGGTATATTGGAGAGCAATTGAAGAAGGCGTCTGGCTGCAGTGGAAGCGAATGGCTTCTGTCTTTACTCGCTCTGACGTTGTCACCGAGAAAGTGCCGTAGGGCGGGAAAATTTTTCCACTCTCTCCGAAGTTTCGCGCGGCAGATTTTTGATCGATGGGAGATCGGGGCTCCGCTCTCCGATTTTCTCATCCATATCGAGCTAGAGAGTTGCTTCATTCACCTCATGGTTTTCCATCCAGGTCGCTCTCCATGTCGAATCGCTGACGGTACTGCCGATCCTACATCTTGATGATCGGCAATCTCCCTATCAGAGCGAGCGACCGATGGAATATCTCGAGTTTCCGCAGATGCGGCGAATTTCGATTGGTTTCCTTAGATTATCGCGCCTAGGGGTTCCGTTCCTGAGCACGGATAGAATTTAACTTCCCATTTTATTGCATCGATCTTCCCGCAGCTCTCCCCCACTGAGTAGGACTTGCTAGGAGCGCACATCATGGATAACATTCAGGAGGTATTCACCTACCCGGCTGTCCAGCAGGGGCAGCCGCAGCAGACGGGCCCCCCGACGTCCGCTCCCTCGTACACAACACTGAGCGGTCCGAAGGAAATATATGCCTCGAACATTCACAACTTGAATGTACAGCCGTTCAACTACGACCCCAACACACAGTGGATTTCGATGCCAGTTATCAATTCAGCCGCGCAAGCTCAATCAGTCAGTCAGATACAACAGGTGAATTGTCGTTCTCGAGCTAATCGTCGGTGAAGGAAGAGTCGCCAGAGATTTTCGATTACTCTACGATATTATTCCCCCTGTCGGCAGGTTGGGACCGCGCAAACGTTGACGAACACGGGCTCGATCCAAATACAAACTACACCGAACGTCGGTATTCACCGTGCTCAGTACCAACCGTCTTCCGGGGAGACCATAAACCTCGCAATCATCCAGCCGCTTTTTCTAGTTAGTGAACCTCCTCCTATGATCCAACAATTGGATCCGTTATCGGTACAGTCGGCTCAGTCCCAGGCGTCCATCACGACCACAACCGCGAGCCTGCAAAATATCGAGATCGTTTCCTGTGAGCGTCAATTGGCCGAAGACTGTTCCACCTTGGATGCGGCGGCCGATGAAACTTCTGTCGAAATATCAGTGCCATCTAAACCGAAGCGAAAACCCAAAAGAGCGCCTGATGTGATAAAAGCTCAGAGGGAAGAATACATACGGAATAAGATCGAACGCCACGCAGTCAAACCACCTTGTAAATGCAAGTTCCGATGCTACCAGAAAATATCCGAGCCGCGTCGTATCGAGATCAATCGACAGTATTGGCAGCTGCCGTACGACAAACAGCGAGATTTCATTCTCCATTCGGTCGAGATCCTCGATGTAAAGAGACGCAAGAAGTCCAAGGCGGATCGCGAGGCGGCTGGGAAGGGGAAAACTTCCAAACGGAGTGACGCGTCCGAGGTCGACGAAGCTGAGAACGATGTAGACTCCGATTTGACGAAAGCCGAGCAAGGCGAGGAGGAAGAGGAGCCACGCGAAGACCGGACGGCGGCGACAGAAGCAGCAGATATGGAGGAAGAATCTCCGTCCACCGAGAACGGTCAGAAGAAGTTCCGTCGGGGCTGGACGAGAGTATACTCACTGAAGGGTGACGACGGGAAATTCGTGATCGTATGTAAAGCTATGTTCCTGACGACTCTCGGTTTCCCGGAGAAAGTGGACGGTGCTCTCCGTTTCCTCAACAAGCAGCAGAAGGGCGATATCAGAGCACGGAGTCCACAGAGAGGCAAAGCAACTCCGATGAAGGGAGCTACTGCGAAAATCGATCGTGACATCATTAAGAATCATATCATGTCTTACAAACCTGTCGTAGTGGGTCGTAAGAAAGGTCAAACTCGCTTCTTACTTGGCGATTTGTCCATGCGGAAAATGCACCAAGATTTCTTGACGAAATATACCGAGCGGAATGTTAGTTACACGATATATTCGGAAGTATTCCGGAGCTTGAATATCGGTTTCCGTAGAGATCAGAAGGTATAACCGAGAGCGATTCGGTGGCGTTACGGGTGTACGCTTATCCGGCATCGGTGGAGTCCGAGGACGGAATGATGAATTCTTTCACTCTGAAAATCGAAATCGGTTGTGACGTTGTGACCACTTCGATGATTGCGGAACGATTCTGGGCCATTCGAGCGTCTCAATCGACTCTGCCGAATTTACGCCGCAGTGGCGGATCCAGGGGGGGGGCCAGGGGGCCATGGCCCCCCCCAAGAATCTTCGATCCCTATACAAAAGCATGGGCCGCGAGGTGGCGCGTCATCATTTTCGGCTCTTTCCCCCCTGAAAATATGACTTGGCCCCCCCCAAGAAAAAAAGCTGGATCCGCTCCTGTACGCCGAAGGAGCTTAACCTTCGTGAAGTAGTGATACGAGAATTAGGAATATTTAATTGCGTAGGATAATCAATGCAGATGTCCGCAGGCCGCAGGGCAGCCATCGTCTCGGAGGCGGTTCTTGACTTCGATGAGGAGTCTCGAGAGGGCGCGCCTTGTAACGGAGCACGGAACCACTGGAAACTGACAGCTCAAAGCAGAGTTCAGTGTTCTCTCGTCGATACGAGTGTTGTGAATTGTTGGAAAGGATTGCTCTGGAAGTGACACCGCTCAGCAGATCTAGGACTTGATGTCGAGCTCATGAACTTACTATGAGACTCTATCAATAATATGTACATTATGATTCAGTGAGCCTGTGGCGTCTTCGATTCTGAGTTGATATCTCATCTTTTCGAACTCGGAGGGACGGAGTGACCATCCTTCTGAATATTCTTGGAGCATAGCTTGAACTTCCCCGCCTTAGTCAGTGACAAGAATGCATCTGTCATGTATATTATATGTACATACGGGGCTACCGATTTTTTCCACGACCTTTTCCAAGGCTGATTCCCGAATTAGGCATTTCCCATTCGCCCCTCAATCGTATAGGACTGCATTTCACCCAGCGAAATTCTGACTCGCTGGTCTGTGAGAACGTATCTGTCGGAATTTTCGGAGTTGACTTCTCGAGCCCCCGACCTTTCAAACCTGCGCGGGGCGTCCGGCTCGCCGCTTGAGAGGCGCTCTATGGGAGGAGGGACGGGAGCACGCCGTCTGCTGGACCAGCGGTGTTTGTTGACATCGTGCCGTGAGAGAGCACCGACACCGACCCCGAAAGCTAATGAAACTTTTTGTCAGCAACCGTCAAAGCTCGTGACAATTTTTCTTGTGGAACGCGGTGGTAATGCGTGGACCGCGGCAAATCCTGCGAGCCGAGGTAGGTGGACAGCTCAGGCTACGTCGAGTCGAAGCCTTCCATCCGAGTAGAGTTTCTATCATTCGTTTGTTGTTGTGAGGAGGATGGCATTACTCATATGATCTGGTAGCTGAGTTTTGCGAACTGTCATCCGCTCTCTCTAGGAGCCTTGGATCTCAATTCGGATGGCCTCGAATCATTCGATGAGTTGAGGGAAGCGAGATGCACCGCTGTAGGTCGAGGGGTCATTAGGCAATCCTCCGGAAGTTCTCGCATGTTTGTGTCGATTCCCCTCTAGCTGTATGCGTCCATCCTCCTCGAGTGGTTTCGCTATAGAAGGAACGTGTTTTCGCGTGGCCGGCGTTTTTCTCTCCTGTCCTAGCCATCTGTTGTTCCGCTCAAACAGAGAAGGAGCTGTCCCCGGATTCGTTTCGGAGCACACCTGATCGGACCCGACGCAGTCTTCGCAGACGGAAGCGTTGTTTTGGTCGAGAACGTGGCGTTTCCCCGTCCTGTGCTTCTGGTCCTCCGAGCGCTACATATATAGACAATGCCTCCCAAGAAGAAGGACGACGGACCCGAGCGCCCAGTTTTGCTTGGACGGGTCGGTACCAATCTCAAGTGCGGAATCGTCGGTCTGCCGAATGTTGGTAAATCGACGTTCTTCAACGTACTCTGTAGTCAGTCGATTCCGGCGGAGAATTTCCCTTTCTGCACGATAGACCCGAACGAATCGCGGGTCGCGGTGCCTGACCCGCGGTTCGACTACCTGGTCGACAGCTTCAAGCCAGCCTCAAAAGTTCCGGCCTATCTCAACGTCGTCGACATCGCGGGGCTTGTCAAGGGAGCGGCCGAGGGTCAAGGTCTCGGTAACGCATTCTTGTCACACATTAAAGCCTGCGATGCACTCCTGCATCTGTGTCGTACGTTCGAAGATGAGGACGTGACCCATGTTGAGGGAGACGTCAATCCTGTGCGCGATATCGAGATCATCAACGAGGAGCTTCGGAGGAAAGATCTCGAGTACCTGAACAGCAACATCGAGAAAATGGAGCGGACCGTTGTTCGCGGAAACGACAAGAAAATGATGCCGGAGTACCATTGTCTTGTCAAAGTGAGAGAAATACTCGATACTGAGAAGAAACACATCCGGTTCGCTGACTGGAAAAGCGATGAAATCGAGGTTCTGAACAAGCATCTCTTCATCACAGCCAAACCCATGATTTACTTGGTCAACCTTTCTGAGAACGATTACATTCGGAAAAAAAATAAATGGCTGCCCAAAATCAAGGAGTATGTCGACAAGACCGACCCGGGTGCCACGATCATCCCTTTTTCGGGAGCGTTCGAGCACAAAATCCTCGACATGTCCCCTGAAGAACGCGCGGCGTTCATCAAGGAGAAGGGAGTAGGTTCGGCCCTGGATAAAATCATCCTCACAGGATACAAAGCTCTCCAGCTAATGTATTTCTTCACGGCTGGAAAGGACGAGGTCAAAGCTTGGACGATCCAGAAGAATACGAAAGCTCCACAAGCGGCGGGCAGAATCCACACGGATTTCGAGAAAGGTTTCATAATGGCGGAAGTCATGAAATTCGAAGATTACAAGGAAGAGGGTAGTGAAAACGCATGTAAAGCAGCTGGAAAGTATCGCCAACAAGGCAAGACGTATATCGTCGAGGACGGCGACATAATTGTTTTCAAATTCAACGCCGGAGCTGGCCTACAATCGAAAAAGAAGTAATTTTCAGTGATTTCACAATCAATAAAAGGTTACCTCGAACCCGCAAAATTCGTCCTGTGTTTCATTCCCATACGATCCCTCTCGCATAGGGTGTGAAATAGTCGTAGATTTAGTCCCTCGGTGAACTTAGTTTTGAGCGGTGTATCGGGCCACCGGAGGATTACGAGATTACGTTCGCCCCATCGATCTATCCACCCTCGAGAGTGAGCTGGCAGCAGACATTAAATTCGAGGAGACGTGGAAGATTGAAGTATTCTCGAATCATTCACTCCTGTATAAATCCAGGGCAGAGGGAGTGATCGGTGCCTGAGACAACTTGGACTTGATTTCTTTGCAATCTCTACGCGGCAGAGTCTCATGTTTCTATTTCCAGGTGCGATTTTGATCGCATGGGCATCAACGAGCAATGGATATCAAGACCCTAGTCTTCATCGACTTGGAGGCGACCCATCTGCCCAGTCGAATTCCGCCGTTCGGTCCGCCGCGGATCACGGAGATCGCGTTGCTCGCGTGTCGAACAAAGCACTTCAAACCACCCTTCCGAGTGACTGACCGACTGTCCCTATGTGTGAATCCACCGGAAAACATTCCCGTGGAAACGACGGATATAACAGGTGAATATCCGGAGAGATCTCTTGCCCTTCGTATTGTCTCATGTCAGGCGGACGATGGGCGTTCGCAACAGACCCCTGAATTCAGAAAATTATCCCGCAGGCCTGAACAATTACAATCTCGAGAACCAGCGAGTGTTCGCTGATCTGGCACCAACAGTAAAATCGTTTCTGCTCACATTGGATCAGCCCATTTGTCTAGTGGCTCACAACGGGGGCAATTTCGACTTCCCACTCCTGAAGGCGGAACTCGACGAAGCCGATGTGTCATGGGACGAGTTGCAACTTTTCACCTGCGATAGTCTGGAAGCTTTCCGTTTCATTCTGCCTAACTTCCCGGGGAGCATCCAAAATGACTCAGGAAATGAAGCCGACGAGCAGAAAGACCCACCGAGAACATCTGGACCAGTGGAAACAGAAGACGCGGCCTGTACGTCACCGAAGAATGCATGTCTTCACGAAACATCCGACTCGTCCAGCCCAGAGAATGGTTTGAGGACACCTCCTCGGAGTCAGCAGCCCCCGAAGCCGAACCATCCTCCTCAAGCCCCGCTCAAGAGGAAAGCCATTGGAAGAGTTTACGAAACGGGCGCCGACGGACGACGCCATGAGAAACGCGCCAGCTACAAGTTATCATCTATTTATGAAAGGTGAGAATCATTCTCGATGCACGAATTCTGAGGTTCGAGCTTGGCGAAAGCTCCGGCTCAAGCCCAGGTGTTGTCTCCGAATCGATCTCCTGGTCATAAGTGGAGCTTGATTCTTCTACTTCAGGTTTTATCGGGACTGTCCAATGGTGTGCCATCACGCTCTGGCGGATTGCGAGATGCTGTTTAAGTGCTGCTCAGTTATTCGGCGTGAGTTGTTCCAGTTCCTCGAGGAGCGGCGAAGTCATTTCAATGTTGTGATCCCGATGTGGTCTCAGAAAAGTCGTCAGAGTACCATGACGACGCGGTCCGGTAAAATTCTGGCCACGCCTACGAGGAAAGTTCCTACGATAAATCCTACGACTCCGGTGAAAACTGATCGGCGGAGAAGGGTTCGACGACTGCTGCAAGACGGAGACGAGGAAATGTCGAAAGGAAGGAATGCTCAAGATAACGAAGGCCTCCAGCTCCTGGAGGCGACGGAGAGTATGGTTCTCTAGGACTCTGGGAAACAGCGGGGCTGGCCGGTCGATATCCGAGGAGATCAGGAATTCGTCTCATGGGGGGGGGACGAAAGTGCATCGTGAGAACTGAAGACATGACTCGGGCAAGAGCATCGCGAAGAAACCATTTTGTGTTCGAAAAGCCCTGTTGAAAGTTGTTACTGTAAGAAAGTAGTTTCCTACCGCCTCTCCCGCCATTTAGAACCCTCGTGCCTTGACGGAAAGTGAAACTTCCGAAATCCGCCAGTAGTTGACCCTGTCGTGGGTTATGTCAAAATTCTTGAATTTTTGAGTGGGATTTTTGAGTCTAGACTCTGACGGAAATTGTTGTCCTTGGAACGAAGGAAAGCATACACCTTGAGCTTTCGAGCGGAACTTACCCTTGAACGAAAAGTTTATTTGTTTACTTATCGCCGACGCGATGTGCGGAGCGATAACGATGATGTGGATCCGCGATGAGCTGATCGGCCTCGGTGAATTTACACTCTGAAGGTCGAATCTGATCGAGGTGACATGCGACAAGAAATTATTTTACTTTCTATGAGGATCCTTATTTTGAGTTCGGTCGGAGGGGACCGAATATTTCTCACTTGAAAGGGTAGAGAGGAACAAACGGGCGGACAAAATGTATTGGGGAACAAATTTATTGTACACATCATATATTATCACTCAGTCAGTCAGTGTAAGTACCTATTATAAGATTTTTGAAGGACTCCGTCTCTGAATTGTCCATGAACTCTCGGAGACCGACCTGTCATCATGGATTATACACTTGAGCAACACAATGTTATTGTACCATGCGCAAAAATATAGTTATTCTATTATATCGACATACCGTTGAGAGAAGCCGGAATAAAGCTGCCTTATCCACAGAAGAGAACTTTTGTTTTTCCTGAGCAATGAGCGAAGAAAAGAGCGAGAAGGGGGTTGCACAGCGTATCGAAAATCGATTGTTCCTGGTTTCACCATTCTCCAGTATGACAAAAAGGGAGCTCTCTCAAAAACCATCGCGAGATTTTGTCACTCAGCTCTGACGAACTTGGATTCATCGTCTACATTTATAGTCCGTAGTAGATCGACGAAGAGGGAAAACAGCACCGTGGATAGGAAGTCGCGCAGTTCTCACACCCTCCGACCACAGCACCGGTCACATGCGGTGGGAACGCCGATTCTCACGCGACGCGCTTGCAATCGCTGAGCCGAAAATTGCAAAAATTCTAATTCTCATTCGGAAATCGCTTGCATTGACAAAGCAGCAGTTTTTGAGCTGGTCAATCAGGTTGTGCTTTTTCGTTGTTGTATAATACCGCGCATTGATCAGTAATGGTCAACTTCGAGCTATGGGTGCGACTACGCGCCCTTTTGCCGACATGTTTCCACTTGTCGACCGCATTTGCCGTTCCGAGACTAATTTTCTCGGAATCTTCACACCTTCACGCCTCAAACCTCTGACCAAGGGAGCGCACTTCCACTGAGACCGAGCTGCGTGGAGCCCGAGCATTCCGTCGCGAACTTCCGATCGCCTAGATGGACTGTCTCCCGGCCTAAGAAAGAACCATAGAGCTCCTCGGGGCCGCGCGGTCTGTCTCTCGGTTCCGTAGTACCTACGACTCGGATGCGCCCGCCCATCACGAAACATCATCTCAGTCATTTTTGAGAATCGGCGAAAAAAAACTCGATAGATCAGCTAAGCTACGGAATCGAGTCATCAGCTCATCAAAGGGGAGGATCGGCGATGAAGCGCTTCGAAGATGAGTCGCAAGTACTTTCGACTTGGTTGAGATCAATGACGGAGCGATCAAACTGTGCAACGAGCGACGTAGTCGCGGAAATCCTTAAGGGCGGATAGAGCTGTTTCGTTGGTTAGCTCACTTGCTTGCGGACAGCAGGCAGACCCGGCTGGGCGGCAAGCAGTCTGGTGGGGTCGCTTGCCCGTTCGGCTGCCGCTTGAGCGACGTTCGAGTCACAACAACTTGCATAAAAACCCAAGAACGTCAAGGCGAACTAAGGAAAGCTATGGTTCCCCTCTTCCCGAGAAAAAAACTCTGACTCTTCAATCAACGTCCCGTTGCCTCTTTCACTTTCTCTCCTCCTCCGTTCTGTTTTGTCCGTCGTCTTAAAGTCCACCGAACCCCTTCGCTGCCAATAGTATCGAGACACATCGTCGAACTGAATTCGAAAACTGGAAGAGTCCCTTCCGGAGCGACAGAGCGAGCCGGTTTTTGTTAACCCCCGTGATTCCGCGTTTGTTCCCCCCGCGGTGTGAAGACCACCGGTGTTAGAAGTTCTCAAGAGCATGTTGGGCCTATGGGCCCTTTGTCTGACGGGCCTAGTGGCGAAGGCCCAGCAATTGATCGGTGAAGCTCCAGAGACAGTGCAGGAACCCTCATACATGTCGCTGAGGGCTGCCTCCAGAGATCCGGAATTCGTTCGCAGCGTCATGCAGCTGGAGGAGGTGAGTTTTCTCGTTTCGGACGGCATTTAAACGATCCGCCTGGAATTTCAAGAGTCGATTCCTTTCCTGTGAACGAGTTTTTCGGACGTAGAGTACGAGCGAACGGCGGGGAACTGATTTCTCGCGGTCCTTTCCAAGTCCATGCCAGCTGGATATTCAATCGACCCCCGCATAGCAATGACAGCAGACAGTACATCAATCGAAGAGCTTGGGGAAGATCCTATCACGACGAAATTGGAACAGCAAGAGGCAGAAAAGGAGTCCAGGACTCGTAGAGACGTGCGTGGCGACGGATACAGCGGCAAAAGAAACTCAGCCAGCAGTAGTGTGCGTATCGTATACGTATAGCTATTATATAATGATCATATCACCATCATTATTATTATTATAATTATTCATATCATGCTGTCTCGCGGCAAAGCGGATCAGTTAGATCAGTTCATCAATCCGATCCAGACGCTAGGGTTCCGGCCCGGCCAACGGAGCCGGCGTCTCAGGGTGCGAACGCTCATGAATCGAGCAGGTTTCAAGTTTAACGACCTACGAACTCATTGACGGCGCGTCGGTCGTGGGAAAAACGTGGAACGACATAAAACTGCGGAAGCGTTTTTTGCAGGAAGCCGATGGTAACAGTGCTGAAGGTTTTGGATTCGATAACAATGCAAAGGCCAAGCTGGAGGAGGAAATGGCCAGCGCGGAGAGAGCCGTTGCGAAGTACGATAAGATGTTTGGGTAGAGTATCGATCAGCGTCTCTTTGCAGGATATCGACCGAACGAATGGACCCGGAGTCCGAGTTTTTCGGACGGATGCCATCCGTATCCGATAGCCTAGACAAGTCCAGTCGCTTCTTTTGAGAATACCTAGAGGAAAAATGTTTCAGGCGAGACTCCAAGAACAAATTCAGTACCGTGGCCGGTGACGACTCGTACGGGAACAGCTTCGGCGGGGGAGCGGACAACGATGACAACTACGATGACCGAAGCGGGAGAGGTGGCGGCGGAAGAGGACATTACGCGCGGACATCAGGGGACACCGGTTACAGGGGGAAGAGTCCTGGAGCTTACGACAGGCAATATGACGGTAATCGTTACAACGCCGATTCCGGCGGCGAATTCGGCGGAGGGGACGACGGCGGTGGCGGCGCGGAACGCAGCTATGAACCCCGAACGAGCTACGGGAACAATGATGGCGGAGACGCATACCGTACGAATTCCGGTGATAATTACGCCGATGACGGGAAGAGTGATTACAGCGCGGAGCGAGCACGCGCTTTCAACCAGGCCACTGACGACGACCACGGCAAGGACAGAGACTACGGGAACGAGAATCGAAACGTCGGCGGCTACGAGGGCAACAACGACTTTTCCGAGCGAGGGGGTGATTACAAGCCGGTCAGTCGCGAGGGGTCGACGTCCAGGACAATCAATTTCCACGAGAAGCCCAAACCGAAGCTGAAACCGTATCGTGAAATACTCGAGGAGCAGGACCGTCTGAAGGAACAGGGGGGCGGACCGCCATTCGAAGCGAATGAGGACGGCTACGACGGGAAAACCGAGGGTTTCGACGGGAGGTACAAGGCCGAAGGCTTCGACGACGACCAGGCGCCGCAGGGGGCTAATGGAGAACGGGATCGGGAGGGCGGCGGCGGCGACTACGGGAGCGACGACGAGGGAGTGAACGCGGCTTCGCAAACGCCCCGGGACAACAATGAAAAGTTGGTTTAGTTTTCGCTGCTCATGTCGGAACCTATAATTCGTCCAAATAACAAATTTCCGGAGTCAAAAATTTGCGATGGAGTCCTGTTGATTATATAAAAGCCCGCCAGAACACGCGGAATAATGGGAAAATCCCGAATCGAGCTAATCGACGTTTTTCAGGTACGCTGAGCTCGATGGACCCGATTACGAATCTCAGCGCGGGACAGACTACTACGACAGGAAGAGGGCCAGCGACGATTCAGGCGAGGCTTCGGACAAGGTGAGGATCGTTCTTCCGGCACCCCTGATTTCCCCGATAGTGATGGCCTCAGCGATGGGAAATCGGCCCCCGAAGCCCATCCATGTGAGGCGGAAGAGGTGGGTTTTCTCAAGACGATGATGATCTCAGCGTTCACTACAGCACCGAGCACGACGCTCTGTCTTCCTGTAGCACAGTCTCCGAGCCCTTTGTCCTGCACGTGCCATGTAATGGAGCGGTCATCGTTTCCCACGAAAAGTTTCGTGGAAAAGTTTTTCAAGAAAAAAGTGGATCGTCCTGGGCTCTGTTTCACTCCGAGTTTTGCAAAGCACACGCTCCCATCCGAGGGGTCTTCAGAGCCCGAAAGTCGAAGTGTTGTCCGTTTTCAATGTTGCCTGTATGAATGCCTGTATCTATGTATGCGCGTGGAGTCTGCACGCGTCGCGTCCGTGTTTTCGTCAATAAAGTCCTCGATCGCGAAACCGTGTCCTCACTGGTTCACCGTGAAACCCTCCGAGCACGAAGCGCACCTTTTTTTACCTGGGCAGAAGATTCCTTGGTACAACGTTGATTCGAGGCGCTTATTAGGGCGGCTCTGAGCGAAAACCCCGAGGTCCTTCGCGAACAGCCCACTGGCGATGCTTCTTCGATGGAATACAGCAACACGGACTTCGATCCAGGCGATGGTAACGGAGACGACCTTAGAGACATTCCGTCAAGTTTTGACGGGATCGTCGCCGGAGGTGGTTTCATCGACGACATAGCGCCGCACGGAGAGGTAGGCCCGACGCGCTTTTGCCAGTTGCGTATGGAAGCTCCGCTTTTGTCGCTCCCGAACTATTAACTTTGAATTACAAACATTTCTTTCATCTGCTTATCGCAGGTGAACTCAACGACCTCCAGTTCGGATCGAGTGATCAACTATTCTGCGGAGGAAGGAGCCATTCCCTCGAAACGCTCTGATCTCGAGGAGGATTACTTGGCGAAAACCGGTCGAGAATTGGGTCCCGCCCCACCGGGCATGGACCCCGCCGACGAAAGATTCACTATCGGGAATTTCAAGCCCGTATTCCCTGTCGACGATCCAGAGGAGACCGCGAGCCGCGGTGACGGCGATGGCAACAGGTATGACTCCTCTTATGGCTCCGATTCGTTTCCTACATCGGATTCGGATATTTGACTTTCGAACTCGTCATCTCATTCATTCCCTCTATGAATGATTTCAATAGGCTAATGATGAGGTAAATAATGGATCGAATGGGTTCTGGCATGGGGTTCCTGTTGAAATTGGTATGATCCCACTGGACCGCTAAGAGATCCGGTTTTCCGAACAGCGTGGGTCCAGCGTCATCGGATGGGTATCCGGACAGAGAAGACGATGAGGACGTAAATCATTTCCATTCAGAAGCTCTGCGACCCGCTTCCGCGGCTTACACCTCCGCTGGACCCAATCGTGAGTTATTCACGAGGTGTCGGGTTTTTAGCAACGTTACACGTCGGTGATTGCAACCGATCGGGGGATCGAACGCCGTGTGGCATTTCCTGATTTTCTCGCTTCTCTTCCTTTCACTTCTCAGTGGAGGTTCCTTATGGCTTAGATGCTCCAACTCCCGTTTCGATGACGGCTAGCGGTCAGGGAGCGAGATATCCGTCGATGGCTTTCCAGGGCAGATCGGAATTCAGTCTCAGCCCGCTGACGTCGACGCCAACTTCACCGTCCACGCCTCCGCCATTGCCGGCCTTCGCGGCTCTCACCGACGACTCATCGTCCCCGCGGCAGGTCAGGGAAAGGCTCGACCTGAGCGAAGTTTCCGGAGCTAACTGTGCGGATCGAGTGTAAATTCTCTCATTTTTTTGTTCGCCTCCCAGGTTGGCCCGATTCCGTTCCCGGACGAGCCGCCGAAGGCACCGATCGGAGAAACCAATAATGAAGGGGGGACTCGCTACAAGCTCGAGAGGACACGGATCCTACAGAAGGAGGACATCCATCGCAGTTCTTACGCGCGGCCGTCCCAGACTATACCTGTCTATCGCAGCATGATAGCGCCCGTCATCACGCAGTACCAGCAGTCAAGGATAGGGGGAAATCTTCGCAGACGAAGGAGGAGCGTAGGAAGCAAAATAATCAGCTTCGAAGTTGCAAGGAACAACGTCACCTACGACTCCGATCGCAATGATCATCATAGTGATAATTCTTCGACTCCTGGACATTCAAACTTTACCGCAGATGTTTCCGACCAGAACGTCAGGGCCGATGGGGAAATGTACGTACTCAGGAAACGCCGAGGCATACCGGACGAGGAAAAATGCGGGCGGCATGGGAGCTCCGATGAGGACTGCGTCTACGGCGAAAGCCGAACGCAGCCGGCGGTTGTCAAAGCTGAAGCGCCCAAGGATCTTCAAACCTCATCCAGCAAACAAATGAACGATGGGGCCAAGATGGCTCCTCTGGTGACGGCGGACACCAGCAACGAAGAGATACTATGGGGTTTGCAATTGGCGAAAAACGAACCCAACGGTAGGCGGCGATCGAAGGTCGTTGTGATCAATACCGCAGAAGAGGCCTTGAAACCCACTTGGCTTATCTCCCCGACGCCTAAGCCCGCCCGTGGAATTCTCGGCTGGTTGGGTTTCTCAAGGACACCCGCGAAGACCTTCGAGGAACAGATCGCCGCGGACATTTTAGGAAAACTCGACAACAAGGAACGTGTCATCATCGAGCACACGGACGATGACACCAGTCAAAGCCAGGAGAGTATCAGCCTGAAACGTGGGGAACCCCGGCAGAAGAGGCGTCGCCGACGCAGGAAACACCATCGCAGACCGCACGCATCGGAGGAGGACTCGCGAGAACGCTTCCGGCCCGCTTTCGATAGGAGCCACGAAGATTTCGAGCAAGATCGTCCAGAAAGACCGCGACGGAAACCCCTCAAGCTGCTAGTGTTGCCGCAGAGCCAGGAAGAGCCCGAAGAACAGGCGAATGAACGACTCGAGATCATACAGAAGTTCCCTCGAGCTCGACAAGTGTACAGAGAGTACAGGCCACGCGGCCGAAACGGCAAGGTCAAGGAGAAGATCCTCGTGTACAGTAGCACCTTCGGGGAGCCCGTTGTGACTCTGCCGGATGTGAAACACGATCAGAAACGAGAGATCCCCGAGGAACGAGGGTTCCGCAAGAGATCCGACGGTCCAAAAATAAAAATTCTCTCGCTTCAAAGAGAACCGCCCCGCGCGTTGATGCGGTTTCCGGATAATCACCGGGATGACGATCTCGTCAGGAAAGGTTTCGTGATTGTCGGACGTAACGTTATGAGTCCGGGAGCAGGGCGAGTTGTTCGCAAAATGAGAACCAACGGCCGAACCTACACCCTCATCCCGAAGCCGAAGGATATCGCCGAAATTACCGTATCATCAACGATCAAGGTCAAAGAACAGAAGTGATCTTCGAAGTAGTTCTCAGACTGACGATCCGAAGTTAATTTCAACTCCCCGTTCATCAGGCGCTATGCATCGGACCTCATTTCGAGGCGCGACTCGATACCTTCTTGTGTCATATCTCAGATTTCGGATCAGCATGGATACGTCAATCGACGCGGGGCTCCAGGTGTATTCTCGTAGGTTTGATTTCCCGGTCCGTCTCCCATTCGTCGAAGCGTCCGAAGCTCTGTTATATTAACTTACGTTATGTCATGTGAAGCTATAGTATCTCCAGTCTTGTTGTGTCATGTGAAGCTATTTTATCTCCAGTCTTGTTATGTCATGTCAAGCTCTCGTATGTCAAGTCAAAAGTCCGTTACGAAGTCGCTCAATGTGCCAAGTAGCGAACGATGTCGCCTAGGCTATTCTTGGCTAAGTTATGGAATTTTCGAGCGACGTCGGCCGTCCCGTGACCGTTTCTGTGTCGATGGTAAGTTACCGAGCGCGTAACGCTTCCGAAATCGCCCTTGTAGCTCCGAGGGAATCCGCTGCCAAGGACGCTATCTCTCGACTCCGAATTTCCATAATTCCCTCATCCCGAAAATCTTTCAGCGACTGACAGGGAGCAATTAAACGAGAATATAGACGTATATTATTGCTCAATCATTTTTTAGGGCTATCTCTCAATGACCGTGGCTCTAAAATGTGTCGAGGGACGGAATTCGTATCGTCGAGACCGACCCTTTCGGAACAAGAATTTCACAGTCCTTAATTGAGAGATCCTGCGATAAGATGCCGAGCAGCAGCGTTCGCTCCTGCGGAGTCGCTCATCGATTCAAAAATATATTGGAATATCCATCAATCAGGGTGAGCAAAGAATCGCGTCCGCTGGACACCGACCCCCGTCTAGTCGGGAGCTGTTCGGAACCCACTTGTCTACAGTCAGTCTATAGCCGACGCCGCCGTCTCGCTCGAGATCGCCACCACATTGAGCTTGATGAGGTGCAAAAAGAGTGGCCAAGTTATTTGGTTTCTTCCACTAAACGACTACATGCTACCATGAATTGATCGATGTCCAGAGCGCAGCCGTTCTATACGGCCGTTCGACGGTCGCAGAGTAAGGGCCGATTCGTGCGTTCAGCGTCGATTGTAGACAAAGTCTCTCAGGATCGCGGAGCGAGTCCGTTTTGCGCATCAAACCGTGATACAAATAATGAGATCGTTCTTTGATCATTCTTTATTCTGTTGGACATTCCACAGTAAGAATTGTAGCCCTAGAGACGCGAGACGACTCGTTCGAGCTATGGGGGACTCCTGAGCGAATTCATTCTGCGGAATCGCGGACTCCGCAGCGGGCTCCAGCTGCGAATATTTAGAAGCCTCCGCCGAACACATGCGAGATTCCACCGAGTTTTCCTTGATCGGGTCGCCAAAACTATCAGCCAATCCCATGGCACAAGTTATTCCGGCATGATCCTAGACAATAACTACATGGCTGTCCCGCCCGATACGGCCAGTCTCTGATGTTCGGATGATTGCCTCTGAAAGAAATACCTCGTCATCCTCAGCGTTCCCCACCTAGATGGAATATGGAGCTTCAGTGTCAGACCAACCCACATCGGGCAATAGTTGCAAACATAGTTGTGAAACGTTCTCGTTCTGTTCTTGTCCTTCATTTCACAGCGGGCGTAGCCACAGCCAACTTTACGGGAAGTGGCCCAAACCTGGAGGCAACCCAATCGCCTTGCTCACTTACAGAAGAGGTACCAATATTCGGAGTTGTTTTCAAAAACTCAGTCCACACCCGATTACCAATTGCGTATAGTGACCGTTCAGCCCGGCTGTGTTATTGCGGATTCCTCCGTAAGAGAAGTTATATTTCTCCAAGTCCCAGACGCGCACAGCGAACGACCACGGTACCTCAGTCGATGCGACGAAAATATTCTGCCCACATTGACCCATGACTGCAATGGCAAGGGAACTCGTTCTCAGCTACTCCATACTCCGTAATATGAACTCCGTGATATATGACATGATGACGATTTTCGGTGATCTTTTAACGCCATACAGATGTGAGACATTCTCTCCCTCAGCCTCGCTTTTTTGATGCGCTCCCTCACCCGGATCCGTGAGTTCTTCCAGTCCTGTGTGAACCAGCAGCCGACATTTTTCCGCCCATTTTTGAGCGGTCCTCGCCGCCCATCGGTACCAAGTCTGTCGAGGAATCGCTTGTCACGACCAAGAATTTCGAGTTCCCCATTCTGGATACGGAGAGTCACGATACTCCGTGGGCTGCATCAATCGACTTAAGAACCTTAAGAGTCGGAGTGTACCATCTCCTGCATATCAGCCGCGGAAGGATCGACATTAGCACGGTGAAAGTTGTGTTGCGCCGCGATGGTCGCTCGGGTTCTCCTACTGTATCGTGGGATGAGGTCCTTCTTGCTTAGCATCGAGCCGTGTATATCCGGTCCTGAGGAATAGCGAGCAGTCAATCACAAATGAAATAAAATGCGATGATAGTATCTGTGAAGTCCAAGTCGAATGAACAGGAGCATCAGCGTAAGATGAAATGATATTGATGTTCCGAAGAGCACCGGGCCCACTCACTCGGGAGTCGTGGTGAAAATGGGTACACAGGGACCTGCACCAATGCCAAGCCGAGGATGATTGAGAGCTGCATCATGAGCCGAGATTCGGAACAATATTGGACTCCGCTGCATTTTTCTCGTACGGACCATTCAAGTCGGTGAGGGTTACCCTAGACAGCATAAAAACTGACTGTCTGCGCCGCGGCCATCGACCCGCTCACATTGCGATAACGTCATGCAAGGGTTGAGTCCGGAGAACAACATCCGGATCGGGTCGTCGCTTGCCGCCAAGCGATTGAGCTTGTGAAGTCAATCGGCATCCATAATGGATCGGGAAATGTCCATATACGTCGGCCTCTATGGCAACCTGCTCAGCTGTTGGGGCTTCCTTCCAGCCTCCCCACACCAACTCAGGGGGCACCGCGAAACAACTCGAGTGCCCGATTCACGACATGATGTCCTCTCGGAGGAAACTCTTCCAAAAATCGATTGAAACTCTTCGCTGTCGGTGTGTTGTGGCCATTTCCCCCGCACGCCAGCTCGACTTCTTCCACGCCCACGATGAGTTTTCACGGGAAGTCTCGCCCTGAGGAGCTGATGTCCGACGGGAAATTCTCTGAGTCTACAGATCGGTTGGATGCTCCATTGATGATTATCGATCGGGTCTGATTCGACCTAGCCTTGTCTTCGTGCCTCGCATTTGACGCCCCAGCCGATCCCATTCTACGTGGAGTTTGCCGCTGACATTGTGCTGGAGGGCCCGGAGAACTTGAGTTTCGGGAAAAACGATATTCGCCTCACTGGCTCCTCGAACCTACTCTCCTTGACCACTCTACCGCGAATCGGATTCCGTATCCAAAGCGTGTGCTCTCCTGCGGAGAACTCTCAAGTATTGTGGTCTCCATTCTTATCGCGCGAAGTTTCGAAGTGGCTCCAACCTCCCAGAAAATTAATGAACTCCCCACGTGTCCCTTGGGGTCCGATTGATTCCCGTACATCCTGAGGAAGTTGCAAGTCCATTCAGGATCGACCCGTGGGACGAGGCACTCTGCCAGCGTCTATAGGTCGCGATAGAGATTCATTCGAGGCTGCGGCACAATGCCATCGATCCGCAGTGAACTCTCAAGCCGAGTCATACACAGGCATTCTCGGAACGGAATGCTCGCGGTCAGGATTGGAAGATCTTACGCAAGGAGTCAAGTTGCGCTCCGATTCCTCGGGAGCTTTTCACCGTGAAGTTCGCGGAAACTCATCTCGAAATGTCACGAGCTCCGGGTCAGCAACTCTGAGCTACCTTCACGTCTGCATCCGGATGACGAAGGCAGACTCCATGATCTAGCCGCCATCCTTCGATACAGTGCCACACTACCCCGATTCGGACCGCGGCCCAGCGCACGGTTCTGTGCGGAGACCAGCTCGAAGAATCTTCGATAAACGGTACGTTCACGAGTGTGTTCCGTGATGTGCCTATCCGCTCGATGCAGTGCATCGCAATCTTCGTTGGATGGCGTCAAGTCGGGAATTCGGCCGAGCGCCCGACGCACAAAACGTCGATCCAAGATGGCGCCGCACCGCGAGCTCCCCGGGAAGCGACTCTGATTCTTCAACGCGGTCGCCGGCCAGGTTCCTTTGTGAACATTTCCCCAGCTACCGAAGGATGCCGCCGTCGAATCCCGATCTGGCCTCCCTATATTTCAAGGAGCTCGCGGAAGAAAAAAGAGGACAACTCGTGAGAGGTACCGTCTACCCATCCACTCGGAATTCCACCGATGCCGATGTTATGACGGACCCTGAAACCCCGCCAGGAACTCAGCTGGGGTCATGCTTTATCCAGAATCCAGACCATTCGAGCCTGATGACGAGCTCTGTTCCCGAGTAGCATAATCTCTCCCGCAAGAAGAGCGGATGATTTTACACATGACTGAAACCCCTCTGCTCAGAAATACGTCGAGGCCAAAACACGAGACTGCGCTGGCTGTGTTAAGATGAATGCGGCGTCAGCTTGATACCGACGCATGGTAGAATTTATTCTCGGCACTCAGAATTTTCTTTCGGCCATACATTGATGCGAATGAGATGCACTCCTCAAGCAGCCTTGGCGCGCGAGACCGGGGGGAGGACTGCGGGAACCGTGGCCTTTGTGCGTCCCAATTCGGGCAGTCGTACGCGGACTCTCTCGTCGGAGGAAGAGGTTTTGCGAGGTCGGCGATGGCAGCAGAGGCGATCGGATCGCTCCGCTGATAGCCCCCATACATTTGAAGGATAATCACCTTCAAGGAAGATATTCTCCCAAGATTCCAGCCACCAGAGGTCAGGGAACCTCATCAGCGGAGCAAGGAGCCACCAACACAGGGGCAGGATTTTCGATTAAAGGCGGAGGAGATCGGCGAACCACGGAACCGGGACTTGAGTGTCCGATCCGACTTCGCTCTATCCGACCGATTCGAGTCGCGATGGAGGGAGCTTCAAGCACACGTATCACCTCTACATATTCGTCGAGGCAGTTTCCGCTTACGGATCCGCTCTTGTTCCGCAATGGTCTCACATTCGCGAGCCGGCAGTCATTACCAAAGATGGTGGTGTGAAAGCCGGTCGTAGCTCCCTCGACGACGAGGTGGGGAATCCTCTTCGCCTGAACTCCTTTTCGAAGTCGACTCAATCTCCGAGGATTCCGATTCGCTGAATGACGAGCTCATGACGGACAGGATTTCCAGCAGGGGTAATGTTCCTGGCCGAACGGACCAAACACCGAACCGTTAATACCCACCAATACTATTCTCGGGTCGTTCCACATGTTCCAGAATGAGAACGGAGATTATAATGTCGGAGGAAGGGGAACGCGCAGCCGCCTGGTATCGAGGGGTCTATCTGTGAGAGTACTCCGAGTTTGATTGAAGAGTACAAGCCATGCCCGCAGGATGATTCTACCCAGGAATGATCCCCTCTCCAATGAAAAGCTCCCGGACTCCTCACCCGATTCTTGAATGCGTGAATTCCCATCATCACATTCATGTCGACTCTAGAAAATTCACGCTCTGGATGCATCAAGGGTTTTTCCCCTACGAAACCCAGAACCGGATCAACGATGACCGATTTACCAAGCGAGATGAGGGAGTGCCCATGCGATACGATCGAGTTTCATGTGAGGATCGATCTCAACGACGAGATGTACCATTATTGTCCCCCATTTCATTTCACCTAGCTGCTTCGGTCGGACATGAGCATCACCTCGGTCTGATCTAGGCCGCGTCTCCTTCATATCAGCCAGAGATCGTAGTCAAGATCCTGGCAAGACCGATGAAATTCATGGAGAAATTCATCCCCGACGCATCTCTCCGCCATGAGCTACAGCACCACGTTACCTGGCCAACCAGCCAGCCAGCCAGTCAGCCGGCCGCCGGCCGGCCTCTCTTCTCTCTCTGACGTTCTGCGGCAGCATGAGTCATTTAGCGCGCCACGAAGAGTCTCTCTCATAAATGCCGAGCTCCGTCGGCTCGACGAGAAATTCCTCAATTCCGAGGGTAATCACGAAATGAATTCGGCAACACAATCAAGACATTCCGGAACCCGCTTCGCAGACATCATCCGATTTCAAGAGCGGTTCAAGGGATTGAGTGTTATTGACCTCTCACACGAGCTCCGAGCGCCCGCCCCCTCTGGCGGCTCGGAATGCGTTCATCGAGGCGCTCGCAAAAAGACGCGATCTGTAGCTGTGTCCTAGTGCAGCCTGTATGTATGCTACTGCTTATTTATTGTTGTACACAGACAGAGGAGTGCTGCTGGACTGTGTTGCGAATTGAGTGGCAAAGTGGCACGGCCAGCGTAACGTGAAGTGCACGCTGTGCCCCTGCCTCCGTTTAGGTCTGTCGAAACAGAACGAAACAAAGAGACCAGCCTGGTCGTCGGTCCAGGGCGGATAGCCGCGGACCTCCGAGTCAAAAGTAGACCCATGGCTGCTAGGCCCTCCTTGAGTCGAGCACGAACAACGGTATGAAACGGCAGCACATTGCTCATCACCGCTAGTCGTAGGCAGGGTGAGTTTCTCAAGGATAGCACCGAGTGCGAATGTAAGCCGCGCGTCCGTTCCAAACTTCAGTTGAGTTTCCACGACGCAGCTCGAAAAGAAAGCTGTGTGCTCGCTCGCTCGCCCGCTGATAGTGTGTTGCTCGCCGGTGGACTTCGAGCTCTCGACGCGCTTCTCTGACTGATTGTGCGGACTGTGAGTTCTCGAAATGCGGAATGCACTTCGGATCCACATGTGTTGACGATATAGCATTCTATAATCAAACGACATCAGTGTTCGAAGCCGCCGCCGCCACCGCCGCCGCTGCCACCGTCGTCGCTGCTGCCGCCGCCAACATCACCAGCACCGCCGACCGTCGGTGCTAGTCGAAGCTCAGACAGACATCGCTTACTCGAATCGGTCGATTGGACTAGCGGCTATCCGTTCGGTCGGTCTGTCTGTTTGTTCCCTCATCCTCGTGTCACTCATCGGGCAAGCTGTCGATTGACCCATCCACCCATCCACCCACCGATCAATCCATCTATCCACCCATCCAACAATCAATCACACATTCATTCATCCAACAACTGGTCCGCCAATAAATCACTCAATACCAGCCGAGCACCGTACGAACTGCTCACGCTGCTGCCGCCAGCGCCGTGACAGACTCCGGCGTGATTGAGTGAACTACCCCCGACCTGTGTGGAGTTAGCTTTGGTCCATGAAGTGCTGTTGAGTAGGAACACGCCAGGGAATACAAATCAATCCAACAAGCCGAGAACAAACAGACTTGAGATTTCCGACCCCCGCCGAGGACGTGTGTTCGCTTCTTACCCCTGAGAAATCTTTCGTATGAATTTCGTGTAAGTTTCCATCTTTTTAATTTTCTTCTTCTTCTTTTCGTTGTTTTGTTCATGCTGTCACTTTCACCACTGGAATCTGCTGTTGCATCGACAGTACGCTCCTTCCGTCCTGGATATATCGCTCATACGTGTTTCCGTTCAGGGCGTGGGAGAATATCATATATCTCGATGGAGATGCTGCCCTCCATTTGGAAATCTTGCCCCATGCGGGAACTGAACTTCAGACCCCAGTGATGTTTTCTGACCTCCGGCGTCATACCGTCAGTGTCGAGGGAGCCCTTCTCTTCTGATCTCTTTCTCTCACGCTATTTCCGTCCCTTCACATGTGCCGACCTGTTTGCATGCTTGATGCTCTATCAGTCAATCATACTCCCTGATGATGATGATATATGGAGTTGAATGTCGGTCAAAAGGAAGATGTCAGACTGGGGGTTTGAGAGGGGGGCTCTGGAGGAGCTTATTGGATTTCGATTTTTCTCTCAAGACGCCGACTAGGCAATTTTGCAGGACGTAGCCTCCACCTGCGCCTATCAGATATTTGGAACGAACTGTTTCGGGTGGCTCCGTGACACGAGCACGACAAAGACCTCTGTCTTTTGTTTTTCGAATGTCATTTCATGAATTTGTGTGCCGCTCGGCCGTGTCATGTCTGCCTGTGAGTCTCAGATGCACCCCTTTCCCCCCATCGGAATGAATCGTGCCCCCACGCATTGTTGAAAACATCCGGCTGAGGATAGTCGTTGAGACCGTCCTCCCGCTCTGGGACTCAGGTTCCTTTCAGTTCTCGACATCCCAACATAGATTCTACTCCTACCCGGAAAGATTTCTCCAAGGCCTGCATACATACATATGGATGAGAGCGTTTCACTTTAGGGTCGGGAGCTTCAGATCCAACGGTACGCCGCGGGGAGTACTGCCTTCGAAGCAAAGTACTGGCAGCGAGCGCCGACGCTGCCGCCGCCACCGCCGCCGCCGTGGCAGTAGAGACGGAACCATTGATAATCCACCATCGCAGCCATAGTCGAAAATTTCCTCAACGCGTTCATCCGTTTTCGCTCGGCGCTCTTGACAGCAGCGACGATGGACGCACATTTCATCTGCCGGTGGAGTTTTCTCCTTTCAATTTTCTGATACGACCCCGGCCTGATTCCGAGAGGCTTGGGCGCCTTGCGACTTCCGGATATCCCGCGAGCGTGGTACATCATGCCGGACACGGTATCCACCGACGGGTGCTCTCAGTCAGTTTCCCGTTGTTTCATATGCTTCCGCATATTCTCTGGATGAAGGGATTCCTATCGGGGACTCCTATCTTCGTCGGTGTACCGGCAGCATAGGGGGGAGGATAATCCATCTCAAAATCGAAAGGAATCGGGGAAGATCGAGAAAGTTCCACGAATGCTTGCCGAACTTCACGTTCGGAATTCCGAAGCGTAGCGATGGCCAACTTCTTGTCCGGGCCATTGATCGTAACTCCCATACGGATTCTGACGGATAGCAGTTTCTGAACGGTTACTTATGAAGCACCGTAACGTGTCCACGCTTTCGATTCCCGAATCCGGAACTTTCCCCCATTCGCGGGATGCGACCAGACTTCCAGAGCCCCTTTGCGACAGGTCACGGTCATTGATGAACATTCTACTATCTGAGATCCGTATTTTTTTCCCTGTTGATTAAGAGATAGGGAGTCTTTATTTTTCCTGATTTCATTCATCGCAGGTAGTTCTGGGAGAAGCACGCAATAACGCTCTCGTATCTGGTTTTCTAGGCATGGGCTTGGGTTTCCGGACGGAGGGATCGTCTGGGTCCCTTGCTGTCTCCGGAGGAGGTGAAACAGTGCGTGTCATCTGCGAGGGTTCTCTGAGCGAACCCACTTTCGAGGTAAAGCTTACGAGAATCGCTCGAACCCTCAAACATCTCCTGTTGCCCAAGGAGACGTCTACATATACGACACGGGAGCAATTCAAGGTGTGGAGCGCTTCGGACCCCAACCGCCAACACCCTGACCCCGTCGTGTTTTCTTCGATATCAGTTGTTTGATCGGAGCTAGCTAATCGGAGATATCGAAGCCTCAGAAACAGAGAAGGAAGGTTGTGTGAGCGAAGTTTTTTTCTTCTCTGTTATCCAGATCTCCAAAGTGGAGCCGTGGAACAGTGTGCGGGTTACCCTGAGCGTGCCTCGGGAGGCGGCTGCCAAGCTGAGTCGATTGGCGGCTTCGAGAGATCCTCAGCTTCGGGAACTGGGGATTCTCTCAGTACAAGTCGCATCCGAGCGAATCTTCACCTTATCGAACAACAACAACAACAATAATAGTAGCAACAATAATAGCGCCAGCAACACGGCCGGCTCCCCTACGAATAACATTGTTCCAAACGCATCGAACAACGGATTGTACAACGCGAGCGGCACAAACAGCTCGGCTTGCAGTAGTAGCGGCCAATCGACGAACAATTCGAGCGGCAATACCACATTGACATCGTCCGCATCGTCTCTGAAACCGATAACGAATAGTTCCGCGACGACCGGCAACGCAACCTCGAGCATCAGCAACAACAACAACAGTTGCAACAACGTCAATAACGGAAGCAACTTCGGCAACAGTAAAGTAGCTGCAACCATGAGCGGAGCAACTCCAACCACCTTCGTCGCGCCTTACGCTCCACCGACCTCTACTCAGGTTCGTGGCTCGAACATCGAGATCGATGGCTCAAAGACCAGAGCAATCGGAGCATTCTGCCAGGATGTCCCGATCATCTCGGTCTTCGAATTGACACGGCGGATCCTCCGATCGAGGCATCTAATACCGTTCTAATTCCGTAGGGAAGTCCGATGAGTAACGGACCGCTGAATTCGTGCGAGTCTCTGGGAAGCTTCCCGACATCTACGGTTCCGTCCTCTACAACCAACACTAACAGCAGCTCACAGGACGTTTTCCTGAAGGTTGGTGACGTCGACGTCGTTGACATTATCGATTACGTCAGATTGCGCAGGAGCTCAAAGATCTTTCGGTTGAAGAGCTATTCTCACAAGAACCTCTTCCAGCCACATCCTGTGTCCGGGGGACCGGGCGGTGGATCCAGCGGAGGATTTCGTTCACCGAACGTCGTGGCGCCTCCGAATTCAGTTATTCCCCCCTATCAATCGCCGGGTGCAAAGCCTAACCACGCTTCTGTGCACGGTTCCTCCTCCACCACTGGAGGAAAGAGCACAAAGGGTAAGTTGGTCAGAGCGTAGACAGTGATCATCATCGATCGTTGTCTTTGTCCACTGGCACCATTGTGATCATTCCCAACTTGGAACAGACTACCATTCGAGCGAGATCTGTAACAACGTATAGGCTTCTCCATTGAGATCGCTTCCGGGTACGCCGAAGTATTCCTCATCATATTGAATCGTCGATCCTGTTCTTTTACAGCGGGTGGCAAAGGCCGTGCAGGTGGAAATGGCAGCACAACTCCGGCCATGACCCAAGACGAATACGAGTCAATGCAGGCGAAGATAGCGGAGTCGATCGAGAGCGTAATTCAGACTCAGAGAAGATTATTCGAAGAGGATCAGAAGCGCGAGAGAGAAATGAAAGACTGCCTCAAGGTTGAAGCCGCAACGCCTCCGCTAGATGGAACCATGCCCGAAGTTTCCGAGGAGGATCTCGACACGCTCCAGGAATTGTTGCTATCGCAGGGTGACCTTGACATTTCCGATGCAACACTCTCTGCCTTCGAAACGTCACCTCTGACGGATCAGCCAGAAAACGTGCGGAAACAGCGGATGCAGCATCAACTTCATCTACAGCAACAGCAGCAGAACCAACAGATGGGTGCTGTGAATCAACGCAAAATGCAGGGAACAGGCGGCATGATGCCGTCGATCATCGATAATCGAAACTCGTCGTTGGTGCACATGCTCGATCGCAAAGGTCCCGAAGTGCGTTTGATGCATCAGCAACAGCCGCAGCAGCAGCAGCAGCAGCAAGGAGTCCATGGCATGCAGCAGTCGCAACAACATCTGCAGAACCACCTGCAGCAGAACAATATTTATCAACAGCAGCCGCAGATGCAGCAACCTATGCAGCAGATGTACAGAATTCAGCATCAACAGCAGCAGCCACAACAATTCGGCAACGTTCCCGCAGGTGGTATGATGCAGCAGCAAGCCCAACAGCAACCGCAGCAACAGCAAACTCAGTTCCAGGTGCGCGGTGCCCAGCGAATGATGGGACCGATGCAGACGCAGCTCATGAACCCTCAACAGCGAATCCAGATCATGCAGCAACAACAGGTCAATATGCAGCTGCAACAACAAAATCCGCAGCAGCAACAGCAACAACAAGGCATGATGCAGCAGATGCAGGGCCAGCCGCCGATGCAGCAGCGGTTAGCGATGCAACAGCAGCAGCTTGGCCAGCCGCAGCAGCAACCGCAGCCACAGCAGATGGGCCAGCCGCAACAGATGGTTCAGCAACAGCAGATGGGTCAGCAGATGGGAAACCAGCAGAACATGCAGCAGCAGATGCAGCTGCAACGGTTACTACAGCTGCAGCAACAACAGCCCCAAAGCATGCAGAATCAGCCGCAGATGCAGCAAGGACATCAGCAGTTCATTGGCCAACAGCAAGTCATGCAGCAGCAGCAACAGCCCCTACAGCAGCAGCAGGTGCAGCAGCAGATGCAGCAGCAGGGAATGATGCCGCAACAAGCGACACAGCAAGGCCTGAACATGCAGCAACAGCCGCATCTGCAGCCCGTTCAGCAAAACCAACAGATGGTCTACAGGCATCAAATTGTCCAGCAGCAGCAACAACAGCAGCAGCCGATGCAGATGCAGCAACAGCAAATGCAGCAGCAACAACACCTGCAGCAACAACAACAACAACAACTGCAACAGCAGCAGCAACAGCAGATGCAGCAACAACAATTGCAGCAACAGCAGCAGCTGCAACAGCAACAGCTGCAACAACAGCCCATGCAACAACATCAAATAATTATGCAGCAACAACAGCCTTTGCAGCAGCAACAACATGTCAACATAACCAATGGTCCCTATCAGGTGAGGCCCGCTCCGAGACGTCTGAGATCACCTTAGACAGCGGTGTCGCATATATCAGATCAGGTGGTGGTATCTGACTACACCCATGTGGAATATCGGCATACGTATAACTGTTTCATGCTCAACAGCATCACATCCATCATCAACAACAACAACAGCAGCAGCAGCAGCCACAACAACAACCTGGTGTTCAACAAATGTCTCGTGCGGTTTCTATGCAAAGTCCCGTAGGAAGCGGAGGAATTCTCATCAATCAAATGGCGAATCCTGCGGGTGGAACGATGATGCATCAAGGCCAGCAAGTGCAGGTGCAACAGCAGGTGCCGCCGCAGCAGCAGCAACAGCAACAAATGATGCGCCAACACCATGTTCTCCACGCCGGGCCTCCCTCGAACCATTCACCTGCGGCTGGATCTCCTCAGGTAGAAACCTAGGGATGTTGGTAAACATCAATCACCGAGCTTCGATGTCGCCCAGAATAGGTTTACGAATTGAGTATGTTCAGTGTGGATTCCAGGTTCGGAGCACCTCGGCGTCACCGTCTCCCGCAACGACTCCCGACTCTCGTGCTTCCCCTCAAAGCTATAATTGTATTGGAGCAGGACCATTGATGGGGATAGGTGGGTCTTCACCTCTTCATCACCAAAACAACGGGCGAAGCAGTGCTGGCCCAACGCCCCCCTCAGCTCAACACAGTCCCAGTACAGACTCTCAGGATAGAATGACGCCACAAGGCATGATGGGAACAATTCAACAGCCCAACTGCATCGTGGTCAGTCAGGCGAATGCTATGCAAAATCAGCAGCAACAACAGCAGCAGCAGCAACAACAGCAGCAGCAACAACAACAGCAGCAGCAAAGAATACAGGTTCGCTTCTAGAAAGGGAACCTCCGTGTGCGTTTGACTTGCATCGATCGAGTCGCTCACTCGGTAACTCACAGTGAGCGAACGGCTTTCAGGCGAACGGTGGTTCTCCGTCAAAGATTTCATTAATTTTAAATCCCAAATGCCGGGAGGGCGTTGTTGGAGGGGGTGGCATGGTTGACGGTCTGATTGGCAGTGAAAATGCCGATGCTAAAACAATCCAAGTAGTCGCACTACCGAAAAGCGCTACGAAAAATAATCAAATCAACCTAATCTCGACGGTGACGCTGCAAGTGAAGACTGGTGAGTCCTCTATAGAGACTCTAGCCCGCGACGACACATGAGAATGCGTGCGTGTGTGTGTTCGAGCTCGCGAAAGCAGCCGCAAGACCTGCCGAGGCTCTCGGAAGCTCGCCCGGTCCAACCTCGATCAGCCAGTCCGTCACCCACTGACTCACTGATAAACTCACCAACCCACCCCTAATTCACTCGTCGAATCGCTGCTCAGTCAAGCTGGGACAACGGCAACGGAACCGACCAACGACCACTCGATCACAAAGCTCCGAACAATCAGCCTGACGTTAGCGACCGTCGTATGATTGTTCTAAAAGAGGACGCCTCTGGAAATTTCAGTCGACTCGGTAGAAGGGACGCACGCCCTAGAAAGTGGATTCAAACGTAGAATGGACGATATGCCCGGACACCCACAAGCTGCTGCAAAAGTTGTGAAGCATTGATTCAACGAGTCTTCAAGCAAATCGTTATTTTTAGGTCAGTTCCCAAGTCGGTCGATGCTGGATACTGTACCCATTATCATCTGAACAATATCATCCGATCGAGGGAACTCATTCCCCGTGCGTCTCGCGCAGGTCAAGAGCCTCGAATTGACACCTGGCGTTCTATAATATTTCAGCTAGGAATAAGTGGACTGTACATATGGGATGAATGACCTGGTCGAGCCAGAGATTGGATCGTGTTGTCAAGGGTCCGAGTCAATCAGTCACAGGCGGAGGCGAAATGCTGCTCGAAAACCCAGGCTACGGCCGGGGCCTCGTTCTGAGAATGCCCAAAGCTGAGGTTTCCGCCAGCTTTGCGCCCAGCTCTGGAAATCCCGTCGAAACGTGAGTTGTTCTTGTAATCCGAGCGCGCACCCTGAGAATACCGGCTTTTCCGCAGTGTTCCTCCGTGGGAAATCCCGCTGCCGATCTAACGAGGGTCATTCTGCCATTTCCAGTTTGTTGCCAGTGCCTTTTGAGGATAGAGAAACGGAAGAAGCTTCTCCGGAGGAACCCCCTGAGAGACTCGGATCTACGGGCGGGCGGACTCGAAAAGTATATGCAAGAAACACGGTGGGATTCGCACCATTCGATGGAGGCGGGGGTCAGTCGACACGGACGGCTATGGCCACGAATGGAGTTGATTACCACGGCGGCAACGACGACCATAACGACTACGACGAAGGACGTGACTGAGAAAACACGGAACAGAAGCGTCAAAGCGTCACGAATGCTTCCAGGAAGAACCGCGCAAGCTGCTTACATGACATGGAAAGTGTTTCTCTTCCCTCCTCTTTGTGTCGTAATGTGTTCCTATGGCGTTCGTTCGGGGTGTCTGCTGCTGACCTGTTGTATAGTTTTAGAGGGAGCCCTGTGTCCCGAGCGCGAAAGCGGAAACTTGTGTCAAGAGGATCTGTCGTAGAGGAGTCGTTTCAAAGCTGGTCTTTTGTGTCATCTTCACAGACATCTATTTAAAACACAGAGACTTTACTTAGTTATTATGTAGTTTACGGATCCATATGTTGCGACAGCTTGTCTGCATCTCTGAACGAATTGTCGCAGATTTATCTTCAGACAGATTTTAGTTGATAGAACTATAATGAGGACGAAATAATCTATATTGTGTATTATATCGAGAGCGAAAGAGAGCGAGACAGAGAGAGAGGACAAGAAGCTACAAGAGACAGAAAGCAAAACAGACTTCAACAAACCAGGGGACGAGTGTTGGAAGCAGAATAGTTGGTACGACACGCGAACCCGATGCCGAATACGTGACCGACTGATAACCATCTAGTAACGTAAGAGTAGGAATAGTTGGGTGTTGCGGCGATCGTGTTGTGAGGAGATCAATCCACCTTTGCGCAGGGGAAGATCTCCGCGTATTCCCTGATAGAGCGAGGTAGTGGAAAATCGCCCTTGTGCTTGTCGAATCGTATGTTTTCTCCCTCGTTCTAAGGACGCTCCGTCGGATTGCCGTTCCCAAAACCCTTCTGGTTCCAGAGTCCTCCGTCTCCACCTCCTCCTCTGCCCGAATCATTTTTCATCGGCGACGTAACCTCATCCTAGAGATAACACGTACCTTGACCCCGCGTCTGCGCGAGTCATATGCAAACTTTGAGCGAATGAGAGACTTGATTTGTGAGAGGGAGAATTTCATATAAAAGAAGGTGAAAATGATGACAAATGCGATAACAACGGATGTCATTCCTAGGAATCATACGCGTGACATGGATGTTCGTTATATTCTCCGATAAGATCTGGTAGTTGAACTTACAAAGCGTCCCCAAAAGCACAGAACCCACAACTGTTATGAGGAAAAGTAATTCAATACGGTTTTTCGCCATCGAAATATCCTGCTCCCGTCCCTAGTTCTCATCCTCATACGCCGAAGCTTCTGCCCTCGGACGCTTTTTTCCCGATAGAATCTATGAGAATGGTTCTGTACCAATATCAGTAACTGTGGAAACGACCATCCTGCTATCATCGGGCTCCTGCGACCTCCAGGTCGTGGTCGCCTAGGAGAGCGGCGTTTGAGGCGATGATGTCGGACTTATTCTCAAGGAAGATTATTTTTATTGCCGCCGCCATCGACGATATTCACGCTAGTTTCTGATTTTTTTCCCTCTAACGTCCATGGTAGAGGTGACCACTGCTGGCTGGCGCGACGGTATGCGAGACGCCGTGAGAGAGCGATCCGCGGAAGCATAACGAATATTATAATCATTATTATAAGGAATATTTAGGGAAATTCTCCTCTCGCTTTTTGGGATCGTTTCTATTAGGTCATTCAATGCGCATATCTATCCTCCCGATAGTCTCCTGGCAGCCAACTCGAGGTTCTGCCGACGGATCCTCTCGAGTGGCGACGCCTCTCCACCTCCTTGAGTGCTATCTCCCTCTGAGTGAGCTCTCCTGAGTATGCCTTTGTGTACCTTTGCGAGTATCTCCCTATCGGCCGCCTTCCATTTCCCTATTTGCAAAGAGCATCGCATATTTCAACCACGAATCTGGCCGACGATTCTGTTTTGTGTTTGTTTGCCGAAAACTACGCCGTAATTATCAACTCTGATATATCTCTTCGAAACCTTGCCCTGATTGGTACGTGGATTCGCTCAACGAGTCCCGTTCTTTTGAATCCTTGGTTAGGTTGACTCATTGTCTGGCTTCGCGTCTCGTCGGAACCATCATTTGCTCACTCGGATTGATTACTGGAAAGAATCTTCAAGCGGAAGCTCAGCGGAAGCTCATTCCAATAGGACTGATCCGAGAAGTCAAGCCCTAATTTATTCTTGATGGAGGATTGAGGCTGATGGCCTCGACGAACGATTGGCAAGCTTGGAGTATTCGGTTCAACCCTGGAACTCTTGCAGCTCGAGTAATTTCGCATGATCCTCGAATTCGGGAGCTTCAACCGAGCTCCGGCTGTTTCTGTTTGAGTGATTTGATTGACTTGCTTGCTCCCCTGACGCTAACCGCATTTCTCTAGATGCCTGACACCGTAGCTGGCGCTGCAGCCGTCGCCTCCGCTATCGCCTGAGCTCTGTGGTAGATGTGTGAAATCGATATGTTCAATGTGCTGCTACTTCCGAGTAGCCGCTCAATGAACCATCAACTAATCAACAATCTCTTCATGCTTGCTTCACGGATACAAGTTGTAGAAAACCGAAACAAGTGGTCGGATTTCCTCGTAATTGCTTCATTTCCTTTCGATGTTTTCGCATCTTTTTGCGATTGCCTTGACTTTTCAAATTCTATCCCAACGGACACTGAACCAACGTACGATACTTCACATCTACGACATCATCCGGCGAAAATCAAGGAACGAAATATTAATTGAAAAAACTCTGTAACTGTACATAGAAGAGAGCGAGGGGCGAGTTGACAGCCTTGATAAAACTGGGCTAATGTGACATCATGTAAATATGTGAACACTCTAGCCAGCACGGATCATAGTTTTGTGCAATAAATATTATGACATGAACACCAAATTCTTCGGGCCGTGTTCTCACTCCAGATTTTCCATTCCCGCATCGCGATCAATCGTAACGATCTCTGTAACGAAATCTTTGAAAGATTCCCCCGGAAGCCGCAGCTTCTATCGTATTCTCGCCAACATGATTCACATTGTTATTATTTCCGAGAAAACGATAGGACGCACTCGAGAAATAGATTCAGTTAGGGATAGACTCCGAGTCCGACTGGAAACCGCGTGAATACACTCTGTCTTTGCGAAATGCGCCCTGTCGCGCACGATATCCGTCATTCGGAGCCTAGATCGATCCCGTCGGCCGGCCCCAACAATGCCGGCATATCTCGGATACAGTCTTTCAAAGTGAACAATGAGCAACTGAGAGATCCGGCAGCGTGGCGGGGCTCGGAGTTCGACGCTGAACCGTGAAAGCCGCTCGAGGTTCGCGAGCGGCTCTCTGAGACACCTAGTCCGTTCTCGATCAGAGGATTCACTCGGACCGAAAATCGTTTTGAGTCGTCGCGGAGAAACACATTGACGAAAACGTCATCTGGTACTCGGAGTTGTGTTCTGGAGCCGAAGGATCGCTGGCTTCGTCCTCTCCACCGCCGGCGCATGCGCCCATCAGAGCTGAGTTCCCGAGGTCTTTTCGGCTAGCGAAGTCGCGGGCTCAGACGCTGTCCCGAGCTCGCATCGACGTCACGTGTACTCTACTCCTGGGAAAGTTTCGGCGCTTGTTCCATAATAAACTTACTGTTCCGATCATCGGAGTTCCCTGAGACTTCTTAAAAGCCGCAGAACATAATCCCTCAGCCTCGACGCAATGGGATTCTCTGACTGAACCTCTTGAATCTTGGAAAACCGGTAAGTTTCGCCGAGAGCTCAACTTTTCACGACATAGCTGAAAGAGATTTCCTTGACATTCCATGAGCGATCAAAAGGCGTATCGGCACGAATGGTGTGCCGCTCTGCGCGGCTTTCCTCGCTCTGGACTCGCTGGATAATTGTGATATTCCACGATCATTATATCGATCGTTGATCTGTATCGACCAAGGCTCGAGACCACGTGATTCCAGAATCCTCGTTCCCTTGGAAGAGAGGTGTACCTGATCTCCGTTCACTACTCGAGGATCACGGATGTCCCTCCGAGTGGGGCCGACTTGTCGACGCGAAGCGTCAATATGAGAGGATTCCAGAGCAATTTTCTATCCGATGCGAGTCAATATTGGTTAGCGGCTCAACTTGCTCCGCTCAAAACATCATTAAAGCGGAGGAAGCATCGCAAACGGGAAATTTCCGCGCTCTTGGTGTCGAGGGAGCAATATCGATGAGTTACGGAACTTGGACCAAATATTTCTTCGTTCGCCCGATCTTTCACATAATATTAGAGCGTGAATCATTCCCATGTTCGAAGGTTCGCCGATAAAACACTTCCCCGAGAGGTGTGACATCATATCGGCAGCGAAACGCAGGGGCGGCGCGTTTGGGGACG